GCATTATGCAAAATATGAGCAGCGCAACCTATCCCATTATTATTCGTTTTTAAATTATTATTTAAGATTGAAAAAACATTTTTTTTTTCTTTTCGTAAAATACCTCCAAAGTTAGTATTGCAATTGTCACCAGAAAATGCAATAATTTTATCCAATAACTTGTATTTTTTCAAACATTCAATTATGTAATTTGATAAAATATCTGCTGTTTCTCCTTTTAAATTTGTCACTTCAAAAACTTTAATTTGTACTCCCAGATTTGGATTAAAATAACGTAATAAAATGGGTACGATTTTCAGATTTTGATGGTTAGAAGTATCTATCATGATAGTAGCAAAATTCATATTTTCTAATTCCTTACAAATCTGTTGCATGGCGAAAGGAGCTAGCACATTTAAAACAATCGATTCAGCCTTAGTTCGAGCACAAGCGAATTTTTTATTATAAATTTGTTTTAAAAGAGATAATGTGCAATCCATCGATCGAAATGAGTGATTGTGTACAACTGTATGAAATGCGAATATCCCTTCTTGTGCCGCGGTACGTCTACTTTCGTCAGTGGATCCACTCGGATTATTCTTTAAAAAAAAAGAAGTTATCTTTTCATTTTTTGATGCAGCTGATAACGCCAATAAATGTTTTTTCACTTTTGTCGTATGTTGTTTTATATCTGAAAGTCCACCATGTTCTATAGAAAATACCGATTTACATATTGTAAAAAACACTTTTCCAACTTCATCAGCATCTTTTAAAAAAGGAAATTCGGATTTTAAATTTGGAGCAAAAACACACCTCCTTTTCGGCATTGTGAGAAAAAAATAAACAAACTGTATATTTTAAATGACACCACTACGACTGAACACTATTACTACGACGGACAAAATGTAGACTGAAGGAGTACAAATATTATAACAAATAACATTTACAATAGTACATAGATCTAATAATATTGTAGATAACGAACTGGCCGCGACCAGTGAGATTGTTCTAATAATAATCCAATGATATCAAAATATACGAAAATATAACACTATTATGGTATTATGACATTATTTACGTTTTATATCACCGACAACAATGTGACGCAACAATTATAATCAAAATAAGAATCTAAAAATCGGGACGTGTGGTCACCCTAGGATAGTATACAGATTAATAAAATTATGGACCACCTAGTGTGGGACCACCTGATTTTATAATTTCTGCGTTTATTAGGTTCTCTATTGGAGCTTTGTTGTTCTTTAACTTCTTTATAGCCTTTTGTACTTTTTTCAGCGACGGGTTTTCTATGAAAGGCTCTGCCGTCAAGACCATCTTAGGTCCATTACCGGAAGTTTCGTGAGGTTTATCTAACAATTTTTCAAATATTATAATATTAATATAAGTATAATGCAAACAATATAATATAATATTTATAATCAATGCTACTATGAAATAGTTAAAACTAACCGAAAAATCTGAGCATGTAAATATAGTAAAGATGAATAGACAATAGTTGAATGATTTAGTGGTGTTTATTAGTTGTTTTCTGGATTTTAGTTAAGTAAAATCTTTAGTATTCACAGTAAACAAATATTTTCACTACATTTATTTAAAAACCACGAAAAGTTACTAAATTTGCGTTAGGACATTTTTATCCAAAAACATGGTCAACAAATCTAACCATGACCATTTACAATATTTAAAAGTCAAAACAATATCAATCATAATCGAATAATATTGTGCACTCTGGCTATTATAACCGAATTCTTCTTCTTCTTCTTCTTCTTCCAGCTTTAAAGGCCATTAAGGCCCATCGCTGCAAAACAAATCTCCTTCCATAACCGAATTATAATAATTAAATACCTATATGCATTACATACTATATTATTTACTATACTACTATAATACAAGACACTTTTACATTTTTCTGTTTATGTTAGCAACTTTCATGTTAATGGAACTAATTGTATTGTTTAATAACTCGTCGTCAAGTCAAGTCAAACTAAATTTGCAACTCGTTTAATAATAACAAACTCATCCTGTCGATATCTTAAAAAAGTTCTTTTTTTAAATGTTAGGTCTGTATAACAGCCGCATAGAATACCAATTAAAACGTAATTAAATCTTATATATCATTTAATTTTTTTTTTAAATTTCCAGTGTAAACTATTTGAAAATACCGGGTTTCACGTTATCATTTGTAGATAACTATAGGATAATGTCTTCCTGTGTCCTTTATGTTATAGACATGGAACTTACTGAATCCTTGTAATAATTCACGAGGAAATATATGATTTGATTAAAATTTAATTTGCAATAATGGACGACAATTATTAAACGACGAGATAGCGAGCAGAAATTAGTGAAATGTAATTTTAGAAGCAAAAGCAAATTCTGACCAAGGAGAAATAAGCAAACCGACTATGAGAAGAAATGTCGAAGATTAGTGTTTGAAAACGAATTAAATTATAACCCCTTATCGTTAATCTGGGCCTTCGGCTGACACAATGTAATGTATTTTAAATCCGATATCTAAATCAAATTGAGAACAAATTATTTTTGAGAAACGACAAAATCTATAAGCGGTCAAAACAGGTTCTTAGATTATTTTTACAACACATTCGTGATATATTTCTGATACATGTCATTCGATGATCAAAATGACCAAATGCTAAAAAGGATTTTCGATATTTTGTATTGCTCTGTGGCAATGTTTTGCGATTGAAAAAAAATTAATTTAGTGGTACATAATCCCCGATTGGAATTCGGTTTCAGTAAAGCAGAGAATATAAGGACTTGTACAATACATGTCATAACGGTTTTCTTGACCGAATAATGGTCAAGTTTAATCCGTAAGTGTATAGGACAGCTTTTCGAAAAGGCCAAACAACTCCAGGAAAAGTCGATTTTCACGGGATCGCGTGCCGGACATTGACAAAAGTCCCTTTTCTGCCACGTTTACACCTAACTCTTCGAATATTTGTACCGTATGCACCGTGCATGTTGGAATCTATTACTATAGCTTGGCGGTATTCATTAATTAAATGTTAGGCATTTTTCATCGTTAACGGTGGTGCACGTTTTGGAATGTACGGAGACAAAATCTACATACAACCGCACGTCCTCAAAATATCTCTTGCGGTATTTTGTTCAATATCGAAATTCGAAGAACTATTACATGGTTGTGTCTAGTGATGTTAAATTAAAGTAATAGTAGGTATGCTCATAAATTACCATGATTATGGGCATGCCATACACATTGGACAGACGGAAGAGCAATAGAGGCCCGGATAACAGAAGGGATGTTGACTAAAAAAGAATAGACAAATCAACAAAAGGCAAACATGCAGAAAATAACGGTCATAACAATCAGTTAGGCAAAATAAAAATACTGAACCAAGAAGCTTAATTTGGAAATAGGGTGTTCAAAGAAGCGATAGTAACTGAAAAAAGCCCACAAAGTTACAAAAGATATGATGGTTGGAAAATAACAATACATGGAAACTAAAAATTCAACGGGAAAAATTAAAGAAACAAAATATTAAACCGAAGATGAATTTTGCAATACAACGACAGCATAAAACTGAATATATAGATAATATAAGATATAACTAAAGATAAAAACAAATGTAATGTATATATTATATACGATAATAATTATTAATATTATTATTTATAATTTGCTTGAAATACATTTCTACTGTAAATGGTTTTGTAATGTTGGTTCATATGTTTTTGATTGAGTTTCGATTTCAGATTTTGATTCTGGAATTGTTGAGTACCTATTTTATTTTTTTAGAAAAAATTATAAAACATATGTCTTTAGACCATATATTATTATTGTAATTATTAGTATTTTAATTGTAACTAGTGCTGTAGCACTGATATTAACATCAACAAATTCTTCTACGGTGTCAAAAGCCATGTCATTGTAGTCTTAGAAAAATACATGTTCGGTTTCTGTCGAGACTATAAGCAGCTAGCGCATCAATTAAGTTTTTACTTTTTTATGTGGTATGGCAAAAAACCGCGATCGATTGGAAGTTTGTGGTATTAATACATTAACAGTTTCACTTTGAAGTCAACCGATCCTTCAAAATTCGTTAGTTTAGTTAACGAGTGCCAGCTGTTCTTCAATTATTTGATTATTTCTTCGATTATCTGTTAATCGAGTCATAATCCACACAAATAAAAAAAAATAAAAAATGATAAATGATTAATAATAATTAATAAATTTTTCTAATGACTAGCATAGTTTGTAATACTTATTGAAATAAATTGTTATAACCAAACAATGTGGGAGTTAACTCATTAGGTTAGGTAACTCAAAGCAACCGTTCGGCAATGTGGGTTTTTGGTTCAAATCCAGGTCATTTACTAAACATTTGATTATTTTTTCCAACTTGACACATATTTTCTTCCAAAAATTAATAAATTAAAATACCGAAGTTTTGCTATTTCGGTTTAGTGGCCGTATTTCGTCAACTAATTTGATGCACTATAAAGTGGTTGTTTAGTTTAGTTTTTCTGCGGTATTTTAAGAGCACGGTCAACGGTCATTTGGCATGAGTGGCAGGTTTCTGTCGTATTTCTAAATGTGTCGTTACAAATTACATACATAGTTATTCATACATGGACAACAGTAAATTTGCACTTGAAAATTTTATACTATGACCAATCACTTGAAGTAGAATGAAAAAAAAATGAAAAATTGTTTTTTTGAAAAAGTTTTCTGAAAGAAAATTTGGCCCCCAAACTTAGATGTCTATTTTCAACATTATTTACATTTCCCAAACTGCCAATACTGAAGGTCTGTGTAAAATAAGCGACTCTGTATATATGAGCTCTGTAATATATTAGACCTCACCTAACTATTGGAGGCTATTTTTAGCTTATCAAAACCCCTAATAATTGTCAATATATTATATAAAAATATGTACAACTAATGTGTGATAAGCTGTAATGACAAATACCGTTTACCAAAAATAAATGCTAATTGTTTGATTTTGTTATTCCAGTTCGAATCCACAAGCTCCGGCCAGATCGATTACCACTAATTTGTTGCTTTCTGAATCTGAGAACGAAGAACCGATTGGATTAACCGAAAATCTACATTATTCCGCTCGCCTTGGATCCCACGTCAACGGCTATGACATAATAAGCCAGCTTGGTTTCGGACATTTTTCCACAGTTTGGTTGGCAAAGAATATAGAGTAAGTTATGCTAACCGTATACTTCAAAGTATTCAACCGTTTAGCGGTTTAACTTGTCATAGTATAATATATAATACGTGTGGTGTACGATCGACGGTTTCTGAAACTCTTGGAATAGATATCAGTGAAACGGTACCTACTAAATTGATCTTCGTGAGATCATGTTTTTTTATCAGTAGAAAACTTTCTGTTTCCCAGTAATAGATAATAGGTAACAGTCGATTCGGTTTTAAAAGCTTTTCGCAGAAGCTCGCCGACTGAAAATAGATTAATATTGATGCACAGTCAATCGGTGACCTACTTGGACAAACGACGACGTAAACATTGCAAGTGTCTGAGTCTCTTGTGGAAACTTTTTAAGTGTATAGAATATTAGATATACTTACAGTATGCATTTTGGCGATAAATGTTTTTTGGCATGGCTTCCAAACCTCTCGGCGTTGTGTTTAAAAGTAACATTAATGGTGGTTACACCCGTTCAGATCTTCTTAGAAGTGCAATTCTAATCGTTAATATTCAAAATTAATTACTACTTACTATTAAATACACCAGACGTGGTTGAAATGTGTTTCTTATTAAATATTTTCATTGTTATCCAATACACTATTTACAAGCCGAATAGCTGTTAAAAAATGTATGTTTTATCTGATAGTATGACAGATAATTGGGTTTGCCATAATACAATTAAAAATAATTCTTACTTGCTGTGATAGTCTTTAATGAATAGTTCGAATATCATTAGTGTTGTATAAAATATGTCTCTGGTAAACTCATCTACAGATTTTGGCCGTCAATCAAACTAAATTACTCTTTAATAAACAAATAGTAAAAAACACTCCTAACCATCGCCGTTAGGTTTGGTAACTGCTCAATGTTTGTTAAATCTTACCTCTCTGCACTTAAGAGACCTACTTGGATCTTTTTAATGAACAAAAATGTTAACCACCATATTATTCTATGACCTTTTGTCCAGTTGTAACACAATAATGTTAATAATAGCTTGTTGAATTACAATATAGTTAACTATTGACCATGTTTGTTTTAACATTTTCAGAGAACCCAGTTTTGCGGCGCTCAAGATAGTGAAAAGCTCTTCCGAGTACACAATGAGCGCAATAGAGGAGATACGATTTCTGAAATGTGTTAGTCATAAGTATTCAAATATGAAAATGTACTTGTAGTAGCGTCATTGCACGTAAAACCCATTCTGTGCACGTGCAATGGTACAAAATTAATTGAATTTTAAATTGATTTAGTCATGTTTGTTTAAAACATTTAACTAAACTAGTTGGGATCGCTAAATAGAGATGTAAAATAAATCCATATGTATTTAAGTAAAAGTTTTCTGTGATTGGAAAGTGTATCGTCGGTGTTGACACAGAATTAAAAACTCATTATAATTATTGTACAGCCAGGAATTTAATAGAGCTATTAGTTCCACTTAACATTGGATCTTTAGTCAAGCAAGTGTATAAATAATGTATTTTTGTATTCGGCGTTTAGATCAATCGCCACAGAAATTCGAATTTTTTTGGTCAACGAGTCATCGAATTGATCGACGATTTCGTAGTTGATGGACCACGAGGGGATCACATTGTCTTGGCGTTGGAGGTTCTTGGACCAAATGTGTTGGCACTAATAGAAAAGACACAATACCACGGTTTACCACTACACTTGTTGCGCAACATAACCAGACAGGTATGAGCAAAGACAATCGTTGGAATTACTAAAAAGTACAAAAATAAAAAATAAAAATAGTACATGGCATTAAACGACCACTTCTATTCGGTTACCGGTAAAAACATTTTCAATATTAGCATATTATGTCGCTATAGTGAAATGAACCGTTGCATTGGTTAAACAAAAGGGCAGCTCGGTTTAGTTGTAATTTAAGTGTGATTGCTCAAATGGTATTAAGTAAATATCCGGTCTGGTTTATTAGTTTCAAGATACTATTCAGGACCTAAACCTTCATTAAGTTAGCAGCACAACCTTAGCAGACATTTAATTAAACTTATCCAACACATTTGTTGGTAGTTTGTTGGACCTTATTTTCGAAACTAGAGCTTTGAAGAAAGTTTGGTCTTGGTCTTGTTCAACTATACTTGATGTCTAAATTAAACCGGCGTAAACGGTCGACCAAAATTAAATTTAAAAAAAAATACTTAAACCCACAGTTGTTTTATATTTTTTGTCGCGTTTTTTGTAATGCAAGTTAAATTTCAGAAGTAACTTGCGATTACTTTTTTTACTTCAATAAAACATTACACATATTAAAAAAAAAACAAATTTTCCTTGTTATATTCATTCTGCGCCACTCATTTTCTTTAAAAAAAGTCATTCTAGTTATTTTTATGAACTTCTATACATTAACGGTGAATATTATAATTTGTAAAACTCCTACGCGCCACACGCGTCCTGGCAGATTTCCCAAAAATGTCATTTTGGACTATCAAGACTTACATTTTGTCCACAAAATGTATCTCAAAATTGTTTCTAAAACTATTTCAAAGAATTTACAGGAAAACAAAAGCGACTCGAGGAATGTGTTATTTGTCTAAATACAAAAACAAAACCGTAACATGTCATAATAAATTATAATTGACCGTTTTCTAAATGGATACATTAGCAGTAAACTTCTCTTTTTATAATATTTTAATCTCTGTTGTACTCGTTTTTCGTTTTTGTGATTTATACGTTTGCCAGGGTTCAAATGTTTTACCATTCCAATACTAAAATTTATTTATTTCAGGTGTTACAAGGATTAGCGTTCCTCCACGATTCATGTGATATAATTCATACGGACATCAAACCGGAAAATATATTGCTTTGCGCAAAACCCGAGTACATCAAAACACTTGCCAATCAAAGTTACAATCAATTTATGTATTTAAGTAAGGGTTTAAAATGATAAAAACACAATTATTTGTACACATAGGCATTGGCTTAACTTTGAAAATTATAAAACGTCACATTTTAAAAGGTAATAACTAATAATATTAACCATAAAGGCTAATAAAAAAAAAAACTTATATATATATATATATATATATATATACTGTATGAAATTATCAAGTAAAAAATATTAGTTTAAACATGTAACTGTTGAGAGTGACTTTTAAAAGTCAAATTAATAGTAACCTACACGATACACAACTGATTCAGTTCAACATTTCCTAAGAGACTAAGATAAGTTTATTTTAAATGTACTCTCCTGCTTTATCGTAGATGACCTGTGGACTCACGACTTTGTTGAAATGGACTTTTTTAATAAATAACAACTGTTTTCAAAGTAAGATAGACAATTTAATACCCAGTTTTAAGGTAATTGATACTATATTATCACCGACTACATCCCCAACATTTTATCAAATATTATTATAAAATACCTTTAAGATTTGAAACTATTCTTCTTTACAAGTGACAACTCCTTTGTTATAAGAAACAATTTTGAAAATCATTAAGTCTATACAATATCGTTTCCTGATTTTTCTTAGTCAGCATAGATAAGTGTAACAATAATGTGTACATTAAAGTCAGAGGCCATATTTGATGCCAGGTATAAAATTATTAGGCCTGGCAACCACTCTATCTTGATCACTGCAGCTGTTGATAAACAATAAAACAGGATTATTTTTTGTTTATTGTCATAAATAGTAGGGATATTACTTATTTGAAATTAATGATTTTTTCTTACAGAGAAGTATAAAAATGGAGATCGACCACCACAATCCGTGATCAAGTTTAAAAGTCTCAACGATATGATAGATCAGTTGGGCGACATCAATATAAAAATCGCCGATTTAGGCAACGGACGTTATGCGGTAAGGCATTTGTTAGCGTTAAATATTTGCCAGTATACCGTTTGAATTATTATTATTAAATCCGTGTTACGATGACACAAGTTGATATGTATTTATACACATATGTTAAAAAATAAGTATGACACTTCTGTGGGAGAATATGCTGTCTCTGATTGCTTTCATTATCGAGCTATGCGGTTGCTAATACGGAAACTGATGTTTAAAAAAAAAAATCCAATATACTGCTATGCGAAAATAAATAGTTTGATATAATGTCTAAAAAAAAATTACACAGTATGACCCCTTCCTTCTCCTTCGACTCTCGACGTAATAATAATATGTTTATACAACCCAAAAATCAATTTTCGGTTCAGTTACTGGTACGGAATGTAATTATATTTCTATCAATGTAATGGAAATAAGAAAAACGTTTTTTAGAGTCAATTTATAAAACTTTAATTGTATTTTCCTGAAAGTTGGAAAAAGTGACATATTAATTTGCGGCGTTTTTCCATAGAAATGATTTATAATCATTCTGGATAAAATGTATGAAGAATGTATCAAAACAATTTTTTTAATGTTAACTTGATTTCCGTATAGAGAAAATTCAAGCATTGCACGCCCCCCCCCCCTATAAAATATACGTTAAGTACCAGAAATGCTGTCAAAGCATGAACGCCTTGCGTCCAAACCCAATAAAAAATTCAATTTACTATTATAATAGAATATTTTCCTGTACATTCATTCAACGTTTCAAATCGAAAAACCCAAATAAAATATTTTTTCATTTTACCTTAATGGATTTTCGTCGTACCTATTCAATACTAATATATGGATGTGTGTTCGAATGCTATTTGTTGAAAGGTTTATTTAGAGGTTTTTCTTGTATTTGGATTTGACGCGGGTTTTCATTGGATTTTGGCTATTACAGTACAACTCACAAGTCAAAACGCATACGTCATAATAATATTATTCTAACGTCATTTTATTTATATATATATATATATTTTATTTATTTATTAGAAGTCCGGCCTTTATTATGATAAAATCCAGACTCGCCAATACAGAAGTTTGGAAGTGTTACTCGGTTCCGGCTACGACACACATGCAGACATTTGGAGCACAGCGTGTGTGGTTAGTAACAGCATATTTTGACCAATGTATCGAAAATTGGCAACATTTCTTTAGTACCTAGTATTTAGCGTTGGCCAGATTATGTATTTAAGTGATTAATGTAGTTGTTGATTTTTAGATATTCGAAATGGCTACAGGAGACTTCCTATTCGATCCGCACAAAGGACCCTCTTTCACCAAGGACGACGATCATATCGCACATATAATTGAACTTTTGGGAAACATACCCTTGTATATCATTAACATGGGAAAATACTCTTGTCGTCTTTTTACAGACAACGGTAATCGGATTACATAAATTACATATTTTAAATTACCCACTAGTTTGTACCGTTTGACAAAATATGTATTTTAGACGGTTTTTTTCTAAAAGTGTTTTGATATTCTAACTTACTCTTTAAAATTCTAATGAATTAAATACTAATAAAATTTCTTTTCCATTTGTAAGCTACAATATAACACTTGAAAATATTTTTTTTTTATGTTTCGAGATACATTTTTTTTTAACAAGTTATTAAGCTACCAGTTTCAATGGACTGTAACTAGGAAGAGGGGGAGGGGTAAGTAAAAACAAAATGTTTCTTCACACACAGTCTAATGTAAGAGGACGTGATAACTCCTTGTTTATTTAGTAGTTGGGTAAAGGAAATTTTTTGCAAAATCTTATGTTAAAGCTTAAATTATAATTATTAGATTAGCAATTAGAACTCTTTTAGGTAGTTAATTTATTTTTCGGACTATTAAAAATATGAATTCCAATAACATGGCTAACTGCGGGCGGTTTTAGAGTAAAAACCCTATCATAAATTTGTTGTTGAGAACTTTTTCTATATTCTGTTGGAAACCATTTTTTGATAGTTGATTTGGAGATGGAACAATATGGCATAAATAAATGGCATATTTTTACTTATTCAAATAAATATACAGGGTGATTTTTTTATCATAGGCCACTCTTCATATCACTGGGATTAGTTAATTCAATAGAAACAATTAAATTATTAATTATTATACTCACTTTCTAAGAGGATTGATACATTTCAATTTCTAATCCAATATAGAAAGTAAACTAAAATGAACTGATTATAATGGAAATCAGAGATACTAATAGACTATAGAGGTTATCGTAATGACTGTTATTGATATTAGTACTTAAAACTGCGTCTAGATTGACAGCACCAATTATTATTTAAATAATCATTTGGTATTTTTTGATTGTAATTAAGTTATTTTCAAGTTTGACCGTTATCGATAAATAAAATTAAGGTTAATTTGATATTGTTATTTTTTAGGTGAAATGAAGTACATTTCGAAACTTAAACCTTGGTACCTAGCCGACGTGTTGATTTCAAAGTACGATTGGAGTGTAAAAGAAGCTCACGAAGTGGCGGCTTTCTTAATTCCTATGTTGGACATGGACTCAAATAATCGAGCCTCGGCGACTCAATGCCTTTTGCATCCTTGGTTATATTGTTAAGCACATCACCGTCTATTTGTTGTAATGAATTTTTGTTGCAGCCGATTATTTTAAATATACACGTATAAGATAGTACATATTTATTTAGTATACAAGTAGTTGTTAAGTAATGTGTTTATCAAAAAACCGATAAGATTATTGTAAAACAATTTTCGTCCTAAAAATGTTCAAAATTCATATCGACCTCTTTGGCTCGCGGTAAAAATCTAAAATTTATTTAAGTATACAATTCCATAGAGTCCTGTGAAATACAATATAATATTCCCTTTTAGGGCGTTCGTAGGGCTCGGTTTTACCGACAGTTATTATACTTGGTACGTGCCGAAAACCATAAAATGTTTATATTTTAGTCGTTAATATAACTATATGTACGGTGTACACCCATCATATCTAGTATAAGGTAAAATATTTTCGTGGATATAAATTAATTATACTTTCTCTTCCGACAAACGTCGCTTTGCATCAAACAAATTTGCTGTTTGTTTCGTTTATTGAAATTTATTGGATCATTTTGACCATTTTGTTTGCTGTACACCCGTTGGATCATTGGCCGACAGCTGGCTGCCGACTGGGAGTAGAAAGCCTGTCCGTGGTCTGAGGAGAATATCATATTGGTTCGCCGTGTTGCGCAAAACTGTTTAGTGCTCTTCTTGTCCAGCGACCAGACACAACATTGTTTTTCTTCATCTTCCACCTCTTCGTCTGCCTGTTGGGGACAGGCAGTGGAAGATAAGATCTTCGAGTGGTCCTGAAACAAATTTCAAAGCCTTTTTTTTTGTGCCATTATCGCAACCAAACGCCTAATCTGACAAAACAAAATCATATCCTCTAAAGTTTCCAGGGCTTTAGAAATTCTGCAAGGGTGTTATATTCATACCTAGTTTGAAAACACCAAAATACCCTGACAACGGACAGGGACCCTGGACATCCCAGGATATCACTTTGGACCTTTGGAGTCCACTGAAGAAAGAAATTCTAAGGAGTGTCAGTTAAGCACACCGCCCGCTCACTATGATCATTAAAAGGGATATCAATCGAAGCCTCACTCAATGACAACTCCAAAAGAATAACTTTCGACTTTTTGTACCCCCAAGAGTATTTCAAGAGTAAAATTCTGAATTCATCAGAACTTTACAGGTGCTTCAGTTAAGCACAAAACGTTCCCGTTATTGGTCGACTTAGTGAAAGTAGTATATGATTAAAAGTTTTGTATTCACCTTGCTGTAGTTATTCTTTTTCTATATATTATAATCATTTTTGATTCTTTAGAAAATAATGTTGTTTTGATGACATTTTTTACGGTTTTGTCGAATCATTTTCTTGAAATTTTGCATTTACAATGATTAAAACATAGGAAAAATATATTATTAAGTGTTCCATTGCGTTCCTTATCGAAATCGATTAATAAGTTTAAAAATAGATAACATATTAATTAACCAACAGCTCTGGTTAATTACTAATCAAAGCTTTAATAATGTTCTTTTAGGTAAAATCTTTCAAAATGTAGTAGAATAATTTGAGGACTCTAATAGCGACTTTCTAAACGCTCCAATGCGGTTTGTTACCTTTTCTGTTAGGGTAATGCCAAAATCTGGCAAGCTATACACTTGACAAAGAAAAGGAATTGGGTATTTTCTACGAATTTCCATTGATGTGTAGTGTAGCTCAACCTCGAGTATTTTATGTATATCATGTAAATAAGTATTGAAACCCATAATGTGATTTATGATAAAAATAACTATCCTAATTTACAATTTTTGTTTTAACCTCTTAAACATCAGAATACATGTCTTATCGTGGTAGCATGTTTTAGTTCCTAGTGTAGGAAACAAATGTTGTTTTTAAACTTAATTAATTAAGATAGGTAACGAGTGTAGTCTAAAATTTCTAAAAATTTGAGTTGTTTGGGAGAAAAAAACTAGTTAAGAGAATAATATTAGTGTAATAGTATTAGTGTTTTATTAAAAGTTTTTGAAGTATGCAAACAAAATGTACAGCATGTAAAATGTTTTATTATAAGAAATATGTTTAAAAGTGATTGATATGATACATGTATTAAAAATAATTTTCATTATCTTATGTCATGTAATACATATGGTAAATTACTTTAGATTAATACTACACACAAATTTTTAGTTAGATTAGATATAAATAGAAGTCTATATATTAAGTATATTGTATACACTTTAGTAATCAAAATTAACTGTTTGTTATTACACGTTTGTTAAGACTTTTAAAATTATTATTACCATCGACATAATTATAAATATCGTGTTTAATTTTATTCTTATAGTGAATATCTACTTAACGCACACTATAGGTACACTTAATTTTTAGCATAATAATTTGATTACATAGAAACTAAGATTATGTATGCAGTTTACCTGCTGAGAAAAAACACTTAATGTAAAATCCAGAGAGGAATGATTTTTTGGTGAAATTACATATCTGTTTTTCTAAATATTATTATTATATTATTATGTAAGTAACTTAATTCATTTAAACCAATTTTGCGTACTGCTCACTCTCTGATCTTATAATAATATGTGTTTAGCTCCAAACCATCATCATGAACCAAATAAAACATATTTTGTGTAGATGTATTTAGTTTAAAATAAAATAGTGTATGGATGTTGATGAACTGTAACTAATTACTAATTACTCATTCATTTTTAATTGTAGCCTTAGTCATTGATATGAAAAATTGTCTATCCAGAACCCCTTAATAAATATAGAGTACAATATAATTTCAAGTGTATACTGTTATTAAATGTGTCAAACTTTATTGTAGCCTACTATGAGTGCATTGTATATTATTATGTATAAAATAATATGATGCTATATGTGCATGGGTTACCTAACAATTATAATAATAACAGTAATAAAATTAAGAAAACTCGTTTTAATTCTACTTTATTAATTTAAGCTAAATATATAAAATGCAAACTTAGAATTAATAATATCGTTAGTCAATAAACTGTAAATCCGTCTTGTATTTCATTTTAACGCTGTTACGGGTCTAAAAACTATAAATGTCTTTTAAGTTTTTATTAATTATAATTAATAACTGTACCTATTTAATAAAATTATATCATTCTACTCATCATATTACATACCTCTCTCATAATTAACCTTGGTCTCAAATACTCATACTGCTGGCTATGCTCTTGAATCTTCAAGTATAACTATATATTTTTTATGCTTAACCAGAATTAACACTAAAATGAACTCTTCATAGTATTTTGATTTATTTTATAAGCCTACTAGTTAGTCCTACTTTGTAAGCTATTTGGTTTTAAAGCCTTTCAGCAATGTTTTATTTTATATTTTTTTTTTTCCAAATCAATGATCAGATTTCGATATTTTGCTTACAACGACGAGATTTTATTTATTTGTGTCTGGACCCACGATATCTTTTAAAACGCTGAACCGATTTCTTTATGGTAGCAAATCTATAGATCAGAAATTGTATTTGAAAAGTGCTTGGTAGTATTATGCCTAAAGAATACTATCAATATATGTTGACAAACCGAAAAAATATCCGAAATTCTTTCCAATAAAATGGTATGACATTTTTTATTTATTTCCTAACAATTTTCACTATAACATATCTATAATTTTTTCAATAATCCATAGTCAAAGTTTTTGGTAAAAGAAAAACCAAAAAATTATAGATAGGAGATTAACCCTAATCCTTCTTCATACCCTAAATACAATTATATGTAGCTATTACAATGTTTTTATTGTTTTTTATTTTTCTATACTGACTACATAATCGCATTGAAGTATTTTTTATTTGAAAAGTATTTTCTCACTTTCAGTTATAATAATTCCTGAAAACCTATGTCCTCACCCCCAATATGCCCCGGCCTCACTGTACTGGCATTGTTTTTTGCTATCAAATTACCAAATTGCAGTATAATTATAACTTCTTCGTTTCTAAACATAATGTTAATAATATCAGAATGCAATTACTCAACTACTTAGTAAGCCTCATTGCAATGCCATATTTCCCATTGAGCAAAATAGGTCTCTTTATAGGCTTTGGCCCCCAAATTAAAGACACCTCATTTGATAATGACACTTTCTAAATCAAGAAGACGATACATTTTTCCTTATATATAAACAATACAAATTCAAACAAAAAAATAGTAGGTAATGTATTACCATCTTGAGTTAGGTCGTTTAGCTAATGTAGGTTTTAAGTATCTACACAATATTATTCGAAAAATTCAAGTTGCCGTTTTCTTTATAATATGGTAATCCAATACAAAGTAAAACAATTCCTATATGAGGCTAATGTCCCGTTTAAGGGGACAGGGGGAATAACTTTGGAGTGTCCTATGTAAAGAGAGGAGCAATGTAGGACGACGATTTCAAGAGTTATAGGAAAAAACAGCTATACAAATTAAGCCAAGTAGAAAGTAAATATACAAGACCAAAGATTTATTTAACGTTACCTCTGAACTATCTGAATGGATATCATCTTTCTGGACACAGCTATCCGAGCTGCTGCTTGGGCAAACAGGGCATCTGGCCGACGATTTGGTCGTTTTGGAACTACAGACCGACTTGCTTCGATCGGTGCCCCTGGTGCTACTGTAGCCGGTCTCCCGCAAGAATGATTCGACAGACGTGCAAGACGAATCGACATCTGAACATTCGTCCGAGGATTCCTGTCGGTGTACGTTGAGCATATTATTATCGAGCATGAATTATTAAGTGTACAACAATGTATGATTTGAATAGGTTCTGTGTACTTGTCTGTACGGTGTCTCGGTACCCAACGAATCCTGGTCGGCCAGGTCGTTTGCGGTGGTCACCTGTCTGGCACTATGGTGAGTTGTTTTCGCCGAAACCTGAGTCATCGATTCGCTTGGGCTTTGGCTTTTGCTTTGGGTTGTCGGATTTTTGGATGTAACAACACCGCGAGAACAATTGACGGAATTTTGAGTTTCCATCTTTCGCTGGAACTGCAACACAAACCGTTAACAACCGAAACCTTATTCAGCAGTAATACATTTTAAAAAAATACGTCTTCAGCGTTAGATTTTAATTTTGTTGTGTCGTGAAAATGTATTTTTTAATATTTTCTGCGTATCCATTATAACTCTTGTAACAAAATGTTCATTCCATCATCTAATATCTTATTATACATTCACACAAGCATGTATTGTATTACTATAATACTTATATATGTATAATATACAAGGTGATCAATTTATCGTGAACCACTCAATATCTCACTGGGTTTAATTAATAGTTAAATATTTTTTTTAGTATTTTTATATAACGTGATCTAAATTTTCCACAAATACTCATGTTATTATCCCCTCCCGAATGGTTCACGATAAGTTGATCACCTTGAATATACACAGGTAAATAAATTGAATAGATGTACTTATTTGGTAATAAGCCTAATGATCATATAAGTACTAGTCAGTGAGTTTAGTAGTCGGCCAATGAAGGTATAAACTGGTCTAAATGCATCATCAAACTTTATTTTATACTACATGTACACGAGACACCCGTCTTATATTATGAACCTCAATAATAGATCTAACCGTACCACGTGAACTATTAATGTCGATATAAAACTATTTTAGATATTTTGTTATTTATGAAATGCATCTTACACAATTAATCTGTTAAGACAAATTACAATATTTTAGGCCTTTTCCACTTTTTAAGCCGTGAAACCCTTATTTTATTTCATATTATCGAAAATGGTTTGCAATGCGTTGCTAGGAATTGGGAAATTTGTAAATACTGATTATGTATTTAATGTGAAGTTAATTACCACGAAGTTAGTTTAGTTTTATATCTATTATATTCTGTCTATCTATCTATAGTATATCTATTTATGTTCATGTAATTTATATATTATTTTTTATCGTTTCCATTTCCCTCCAAAAAAGTTTAGTACTTATATTTAATTCACCATTTTTTTAAGAAAATAATTACCCTGTTTAAAATTTGGATAAGTTACGGTATTTAAATTGTAATTATTTAACTTCAAAGCCACTTGAGGTGTTTTAATCAGTGTAAATAATAAAAATATGATTATAACTCCAAGGGTAAAATAATTGTAATAATTGTATTGGGCATCTCGTCAGTTGATGTGACGAAACCCAAAAGTGACTTTCACAAATTGTACAGGAGAGCAAAATTAATATTACATTTTGAACACATTGAATTGTGATTCAACCGAGAATTAGAAAAAAGAGGCCTGAATGAGAATGTTAAGATGATGTGTGTAGAGTTATTAGGTTAAACAAAATAACGAATGTGTATGTAAAAGGAAGTTTAAATATTTCGAGGGGAAAACAGATTTGGGCATGTGCAAAGTGGAAGTGGAAGAAAGTGAAACGTCAAAGATGTTGAAAGAGCGGGGGTGGAGAATAAGAAGATCCAGGCGCGGTGTGTACATGCAATGCAGAACTGTGTAATAAATATAGATCAGTCCTCTCAGCGTGGATGGTGTACAAAATCGAGACTGTTATTCCCGTGGCAACCGAACACATTGTTATTGTACTAATAATAGATATTATGTCCTCTGGCGGTTTCCGTGTAATTTCTAGACACGTCTGCCCGGATCTTGATTACTTACCTTGTAGACCATCAATTCCAGCATAGAACTCAGAGTCAATTGAAACACCCAGAGCAGCGTCCACAAGGCGAACGCCCAATTCAACAGGTAAACCGTGATATCCAACAGCCGGAACAAAACGCCCGAACCCTCTAGATAATAATTGTCGCATCTGCACCGCAACAAACAACACATCACACTGTCCCGCGAATACATGTCCGGTGTGGCGCAAACCGTGTCCCTAGTATTGTCCGAATAACTATATACTGTATATTATCTGTACTGTATGTTATCACATGAAATATGGAAAATTTAATTTATTTTTTATTTTTCGCTTTTACTTTGTTTACACGCGCCAAAACGGAATAACGGCGTAGCTATGGCAGTGACGTCTGATAGACCAGTGAGAGGTCAAGTCCGATAAAGTGTTGAACCCGAAGACCCGGAATCGGAACTGCTGTTAACCCTTGTATAGTACCGCGACTTTGACTCGGTCTTGTCGTGTCATCGACTCGATTGTGTAAAATAAGTGTTTTGTTGTTATTATAAACTCCATGACAGCGCAACACGATAATAATAGCTGTGTAATAATTGTATTTCTTTAATGACGATATTATTAGACACATAAAAACAGCATTACCGTAGGATAACACAAAATTAATCAGTGGCATTACATTAATGTTACTCAAAAGAGTACCTCAACAACATCGCTTGGTGCTCATAACAATTAGTATCATAGTATAGTACTTACTACTTTTTGCCGAACCTAATCGGACAGTCGGTAGACCATTTTGTAGGTATGAGAAATTCTTTCAATACGCTGTGTATTGGTCGAATATGTCTTGGATATTATCATATTTTAATGCTCGGTTTAATCACAGTTCAATGTGTACAAAATTATTTTACAATTTTACAATTATTTTACAATTTTGTGAAGTTACTTTTGGGTTTCGTCACATCAATTGTGAAGAGATGCCCAACAAAATTATTAGACCCTTGTTGTTAATAACACATTTTTTTGTTTATTGGTACAATTTAAAGAAATAATATTTAATAAGGCATGAATAAAAAAAAATTATTACATTTATTGAATTGTAAGTTTGAATGATATATTGTCATTGAAGTCCAATCAATTATTTATACTGATTCAAACACCTCAAGTAGCTGTAAAGATAAAAAATTACAATTTCAAGGCCAAATTATTTTGAGTTGGAGAATTATTTTCTTTAAAAAAACTGTTGACTTAAAAAATTATTAAAACTTGAATAGGGTCTTACACTATTTACACGCCTTTTTTCTATTTCTATGGCTTCTCTGGACAAAATCAAAGTTGATGTTGTGGCCTTTTTGACCTACATGTTCTGCTACGGCTGACTTCTTGGTCTTATTGTAGTCCACATATTTTTCATGTTTCTCGGCCCGTACTTTAATAGGTCGTCCTGTGTGACCGATGTATGTAGTCTTGGAAGTTCATCTTTTGGACTCCGAAAAAATTCTTCTAATTTCTTCACCGTAGAGAATACTGTCCTTACACTATATTTGCTTGCCACCTGTGCTATGCGTTCAGTCAGTCCACTTATAAACAGAATATCTACTGTGCCTTTAATCTCTTCTTCTTCTTGGCGAACTCCCATTGCGCTATGTTGCTTGTTTTCCCGTTCTGCGTTTCGTAAGGCTTTGATCACTGCATTTACATGCAATACGAGCAACATCGAACCAGAGCCCTGAAGATGAAACATACAAGTGTTTCGAAACGTTGGCGAACCAGTCAAGATATCCAAATGAGAGTAAATAATTAAGGCGTGTAAATAGTGTAAGCTGTGACTTAGTTTTGATCACTATTTTTTTTGGTGGGGGGAAATGAGGAGTAAACCTCAAATCCTTCTTTTTTCACAGACTCGAACAATTTAGAATAATATTTTTCTTTTAGCGATTGGGCTCTTTTTGATCTACTGTAAGTAACTTTTAGAATAATGACAAAATATTGATTAAACAGTTAATCTACTTTAGCTACTATTTACATGGTTTAGTCTTAGAATATTAAAAATAATGTTTGGGAAATATCAACTTATACATATTATTTTGTTTAAAGTAATTTTCTTGCCAATCATTTAAAGCCTAGGCACTATTTAGAAAGTTAAAGGATGAGTTAGTTAGAGAAATAGGCATTCGAGAAAACTGCGATTAAACTTTAAAGTTGTAAATGCACTTGATAGCACTTAAGTTAGATGGCATAACAATTTTGTTTTAAAATATTTCTACGTTTCTACTTGGAATTATACGGTTTTTAATTTGTGTTTTACTTTCATTTTCAAATTATCAACATCATGTTTGAAAAAAAAAATGTTTTTCATTTATTATAACTTATAAGTATTAACTAGGGAAAAAATGCAATGTAATACTATTAAGATCCTTCACTAAAACATTTAAATGTTTCTAAATGGAGAGTAATTTTTTTTAAACTAGGCCGCCTCGACTATTCATTATTTTTTTATAGGAATCTACAATAAATTGTAAAAAGTAAAAAAAAAAAATTGAACTCAACTTAAGTACTCAAAAAGTGCCCCACATGTGTTTATTAAGGGATTGAAAGTTTAATTCGACGTTTACAGAGTTTGTTTTTATCTACAATATTTTGGTGGCATTTTTAAAATAAAAAGGCGTTGAATTATTTTTTTTGGGTTATGGTAATATTAACTTAAGAACAAAATAACGTTTTGGCATTTTAATATAATACACAGTAATATTAAACAATATACAATATTCTTGGTAATACTCACAAACTGATAAACGTTTAAAACATAATAGAAATGTTATAAGCGCTTCAAAGCGGCCGCTCGTGTTATACATACAGGAGATAAGTTAACATTAATAACAAAAAAATATATAAATTTACTAGTCTATGCGAGAGCGAGCGTCTTACTGCAAGCAAGCAGAATAATATTATTTTAGTAAACATTTTTTTGTAATTAAAAATTCAATCCTGTATTTATAACATAATTATTATTATATAAAATCAATAGCTCGCCGATATACAATATGAATAATTCAAACAATAAAAAAAATTAATAATCAACAATAATTCAATATAAAACAGCTCCAGAAAAAAAAATGTTGTTCATATTATAAGGAGTGTGTGTAAGTAATATATAACGTGCAAATATAAACAATAGTAAATAATAATAATATAGGTATGAAAAAATCGAATAATATGTATAGTTTTGACGATAATGGTTAAATATAAAGCAGTATAAATGAAAAGACATAAAAATAATAATAATAAAAAAATTATAAAGTATAAGTACAATGTTGTAATTTACATGCATGGTGTTTGGTGGGTACACTGAGAGGAAAAAAATCACATTTTTGGTAAATTCGTAAAAAATCGAAACCACAGTTGCTGAAATCGAGACAATGTGGATTTTTTTCCAATAGCGTGTAATGAGTAAACTTTTCCAAGGCTTGGTGGGTATTTTTAAACACACCCTTGTGGTGTATTTGAAAATTCCATCGGTGCCAAAGGAAAATTTTACCCAGCTTTTTTTTGTTTTTGGTTTGTTTGTCTTTTAATACGGAAATTGTGCCACTCGGTCAGAACAAAAGGCGTAGCAACACGACGAACAGTACCGTGCCCAGAAACGATCTGGAAAACGTTACTATGTTATTGTCGATCTCCTTGATTTTCATTTCGTACTTGAACGACGGTTTGTCCACAGTGTCCACGTTGTACCGTTTACTAACAACACTGCTGATGTTGCTAACAGGTGTCGTCGATGCTTTGCCTGTTAATGAAATTATTATTAATAAAAATATTGTTTTCTTAACGAAAGACAAAATTGGATTTATTGAAAACACACTAAACTTGGACATAACGTTTTCCATAACGCAAAAATGACTTTTGGTAAAGGAAAATACTCGAGGACGGTGTTTATATTTTACATTTTTACAAGTAATAGATAATATTACAGAGCACATAATATGTTATATTTATAGGGAAAAATAATTATTACCCATATCAGTGTATGGGAATTACACAGGAAATTTGTAGAGTGAAGCATAAAAGCGAATGGAACGAGACGGTACATAAAAATTTGATGAGGGATAGGAGAGAAAGAAAATCAATTATATCACAAAGGTTAGTCAAAATTGAGACATTACTCGCCCGTTTACTTGAAAGGTCCTGTTCAAATAGGATATGAGAGTAATCGTAGGGAGGACAGGGAATATTAAGCTTGAAGGCAACAACATTGACACTTGTAGATGAAGACTCTAATAGAATACTGCCATATTCAAAGATAAGGCTTACTGAGGAGGAACATAGAGCTTTAAGAGGTAGAGCAAGATGTTTAAAAATTGTGTAACTTAATTTTTTTGCAGTACAAAATATTTTTTCTCGTGTCGTTTGTGGCTATTCGACAGAAATTTTACGACACAACATAAGGGTTTTTGCCAGGCTCTGGAAGTGAATGGTAGTCTCTCTCTTTTAAGACAGTCACCTGTCCATAGAGAGAGAGACAACCCGTATAATTAAATTGGTAGTTTAAAACAGTAGGCACAAATGTTTTTCGTACATTAATATTTGGACCTCTTCGTTTATAAATACAACGATCATTAGATTTTAGTAATTATTTCAATGGACCCAGATTGGAATTACAGAACAATGAACATGAAGTGTAACATGTCGACTGCCGCAGCGAAGAAAGCTGATTTTTGTTACTTTCGCGGAGAGCGAAAAAGAATTATCAATTTATAATGACACAAAAATGCGATTTTATAAAACTTGGATGTTAATTGCTTAAATCGGATCTTATCTTGTTGAATGACTATTGTGTAAAGACAAATATTTTCAAACATTTTTAAGAGAACAGATAAGACGAGTTTTCAATTTAAAATTGGATGGGATTACTGACTTTAATTGTTTTAAAGTGAGATAGAATAAGAAGTTACATAAATTATGGAGAAAATGAGAGAGAATAAGCTGAGACGATTCGGTCATGTTATGAGAAGAGATGAGGCAGATGCGGTGAGATGTGTTATGAAGATGAATGTAGAGGGAAGAAGAGGAAGACCAAAGAAAAGGTGGATGGACGGTGATATGCTGGAGTGTTTGAACGAGATGTAGGACTAGGGTGGCCGACCCCATGTAGTTGGTAGTGTAAGGCAAAGATAAAGAAGAAGAATTGTTTTAAAGTGAGAAATTCGACTCTAGCCGCTTCTGCAAAGATAATAGTCGTAGTTACCTTGGTTTTTGTCGAGTTCCATCGTCAGCGTTGTGTCTACGAACGCAGTCAAAGACTCGTTATCGTCATTGTCGTTGTCACAATCTACTAAAGTGTCGATCGACAATGGCGGTGACGAGTCTTCTTCAGCGGTCCTGGCATCGGCCATGCTTAGCAATTGCTTCTCGATGACTATGTGCTCGACCACTGCCGAGATTTCTTCACGGACCACTTCCACAGGTAATATTTCTTCACGGACCATCTCCACCGGTAAGATTTCTTCACGGACCACCTCCTCAACGGCGGGTTTCTTCGACTGGGCACCGTCGTCGTTGTAGTAGCCGTTGATTGTGTTGTTATTGATAGTTATGCCATAAGCAACCTCCGAGTCTCTGGGCCAACAGTCGGTCTGATCGCATTTGGGTTGTGGTGCCTGTGCAGCAACGGTCGCCAAAGGTATTGGAGTTGTCGGCGACGGAGGCCTTTGAGTTTCCGACTGGCAAGTGTTTTGGGGCTGCTGTAACGGTTTGTGATACGACCGGAAAGGCGGTCTGTTCTTACTCGACCAACTGGAATATTTGGTGAACCGGTGACGTTTCTGGGGCTGTGGCAAATCGGCGTTCTCCTTGCCCATTTTATTGGTCATTTTTCTCGCCACGTCCGAGTTGGACGACGCTGAAATCATAGAAACCGCGTTAAAACTAGTTCAAACATAATCCAGATCTAGGCGTGTGATATGGTCGTGCACGGGCTCAGCTTTAGCAGCAGATAAAATTGTTTTAAAGATATTTTAAACGACATAACCGCTGCCAGAAATAGATTTTTTCTAAGTCCGAAACCGAATCTTTCATAGATCCTAAGAAATCTATTGAGTTAATTTTAAGTGAAACCGTAGGTTATATTTGCAAATAATAGAATAATACAGATATTTGATTTTGTTTGTTTCCAATAATAATCACCAACCCTCGTAACTTTTTCAATCAGATGGAATGAAATTTGCCCCGTTGAAAAGGCCTGAGGACTAAAACTTCTCCTTTATCTAAAGTATATATTAAAATATATAAAACAAAAAAAATGTTTGGTTGACGGAAAACTCCAAGAAAACGTCTAAGCACTCGGTGAACTTTACAGCAAAGTTTTTAAAACAATGAAATCGTCGTGGCGAATTTCTACAGATTAAGGATCTCTGTTTTGTTAATGACAGTTTTAAAACAAACGTCGTCTAAACAACCGGCCACAAGACGTTAAACGATCCGCGTTATACATGATACGTATGTATAAATGACTAAAACGAAACAGTCCAATGTAATTGATGACGTAATCTAGAGAACTTTTGAACAAGAACCGCAAATGGGTAATTATTATTTATTAAAGTTATTAGTGCAGTTATCGTGGAATCAGTTAAATTGTAATTTTTAGTAGCTAATAACAAAAACTTATAATTCAAACAAAACTAAATGCGAAAGCGCCAAAGGGTTGGAGGTGGGACAATCACACAGCAATATTAAATTAAACACAATTTTTACAGTAATTACTAGTTTAGTGGAAAATGTATTTTAAACGGCAATTACAGAACCTTTAAACCGAAACGTTATTAAATATTGTCACGGGGCTAAGAAGAAGACATTAATAATTGCCTTACGGAATGATAACGAACTGATTCGTTTTAATTAATGATGCGGCTCGATAAAAATTTCCATACTAGTCCATTCCGTCCCTCTGACCAGACAATCATTTTTATTTATTATTTCAACGTCATTTATAATATTTCATAGAATTTTTACCCGAGTGATTCCCGACTAAATTCAGTTGTCTATTAACAGTTGCCTGCTAATTACTAAGGTAATTGGCTATTTGGATAGATTTTCGCGACCGAATCGACTTCGTATCGGTTGGAATAACGAAACCCAATAACTTATGTCTAATAGCAAAATTTGAAAACTCATAATGTGTGTGTGTGTACCGTCGTCTTGTGTAAGCTGAAACAATTCAAAAGGTTTCACGAACACGTGTGACTTCATGGCTTTGATGTATAATTGCGAGAAAGCAAACTCATTTGCCTTTGACTATGCGCTATAACAATTGAACGCTGAACCGCTTTCTTTGATCAGTGCATTTTTCGATTCAAATTCATATTAGATTGGTTCTTAAGGGTAGGCGGGGAGGGGAGCAAAATCCACAATGTTTGAACTCAAAAAGATTTCCACTAAAACGTGAATAGGTTTTTGGAAATTTAATCTCGACGCTCTTAAGCATCTTAAAAATGGTTAGATTAAAGGTTAGATATATTTTCTCGAAAATGTTTAAACGTTTTTGTTTGAGCTATACGGAGTTGAAATTCAACATACGATCAAGTATACTTTTGGGAGAACCAAATAGAGAAAATATAAATAAATAATTTTTTTTTTTAATTATCTGTCAGTATTTTCTAGTGAGAGTTTAAATATTGACAAAACACTCTTAGGTATAACCATTTTAAATGAGCCATACAGCATACTAATATTTATACCTATAATGGGTTTTTCTCGTTAGAAAAAAGTGTAGGTTTTAATTGTATTGATTTTATAAAATAACATTTGTATTTGAACTATGAACTTGATAAAACCTCATCTAAGTATGTTTTTTTGAAATAAAAATGGTTTTATAAATTTGCGTCATACAAATCATTTCTAAGCTTAGTATAATTTAACACTCTACGATTACATAGATCATCGCATCATAAGCGACTCGAAAAATCATTTTAATCTTTAAAAGATTGCAATTGTTGTAAAATTTAATGTTTCGAAAACAAGTAAATTTAAAATAATTTATATTTATTTTAGTGATATTGTTTTATCATAAGTAAAATAACTATTTCAATTAGTTTGAATGCAGAATAAACAAAACTATAACTATAAAAACAAGCTATATGCTCGTAACTCAGAAACAAGAACATAGAATGAGAGTTTACATAAATCACACTTACATGACACACATAAATGGACTGCAGTCATATTTAAGATGAAAGCAATTTATTATTAGTAGTTAACTAAAGCTCGTTTGACGGTTTTTAAACAAAATAACAATATTATATTATACTGCGAAAATGTGATATAACAATATACACCTACCTAATTGGGAAAACTGTATTCTAATAAACAATAGTTGTCTTCATTTAAACATTTTAGAATGGTGTTCAAATTTGATTTTAATAAATAACGTTGGTTAATAATAATATTAGAAATAACTAATTAAATAATGATTGATGCAATTGATAACTACCTTTCGTTTTTATTTTATTAATGAATACAACATCAATTTATTGTTGTTTAAAAAAAAAAAAAATAAAATAAAATAATATTCAACGAATTTCAGTAAAAAATAACTAATAAAACAAAAATTAAAATTATTTTTAAAATAATAGACTAATAATGAACATATTATTATTATTCACTCGCATGATAAAATGCAATTTTATTCGAATAATGTCTAAATTTTTTTTGTTATATATAATGTTAATTGTCACTTTACTTAATCAAAAACAAAAAACTTTTTCGAATAGACAATCAAATAAATGTACTGCTCACCTGTTGTGTCATCTCTGCATTCTCCTTCCATGTCACTACTCGAGGACCCATGTGAAATGTCACTCAACAAATGTAACGGTGGTAAAACTAAAAGCAAAACATAATATACAGAATTATTGTTTAAGTATTTTTCGAGTATTTTACAACGAGGCAAACATTTATTTTAATATTATAAAAATTGTTTATGATAATCTATCAAAATGAAAAATCATAACAATACAACATAATTAACACGGTTAGTAAAATTTTACAAACACGTGTTATTAATAATAACGCATGTAACTTGCATACAAATAATTTGGTTTTATATGTGTTTAAAGCTTTAACTACGCAATAGAAACAAAATAATATGTCCGTCGACCATGACGAGTGCAATTAAGCCACGTCGACAGTAGCCTGTTCCCGGATGGGTGAACACCGCCAGGTGTCAACCAAGCAGATCAAGCTTTTATATGTAGGTACATACCTGTCGAAACCTAATAATAACATAAATACTGAAAAAAAAAATATATATATATTACCCGGTTGCAGTATATATCTAGAGATCATTTCCATCCATAGTAATGATTATTAATATGCTCAAACCAAATTTTATTGATTGCCTAATGCCTTTTTAAGGATTCATCGTTATTTTACTTAATTGATTTTATATTATGTTTTTATATTTCTGATGGAACGAAAATATTGTCATTTGTTTAATTATTTATGCTGTCCAAAGTCTAATGATTGTGTAATCATAAGTAATAAAAAAGTTAAAAAAATATAAGAAGTAAATTTCCAAGCTGAACCATTCCATTTGAGTTGTGAACAACAATTTTAATGTACAGTACTAAATAATCAATCCTATGTACACATTGACAACAGAATAGAAAAACAATAATTTCTTTCCAATATTATACGATTTATATTATAATTTATATTTTATACTATATTGATGAAAATGTAATTGTTTTTAAATTGTGGTTTATATAATACGTGCTGTTTGTAAAATTATCACTAAAAATATTGCTTTAGGTACCATTTTTCTATATTTTTACCAACAAGATTTACACTATTTTAGAGTGTGTAATCAAAAAGACAAAGGGGATTTATTAGACACATTATCAGATCTGTACACTACAAAATTACACGAATAATAATTATTCATAAATTCTAGGCTGATAAAAAGTAGGAGCTGAGAGTAGTTAAGATAAGTTTTATTAATGATTAGTAATGAATAATTGATCATGATTATTTTTTAGGAGTTTCACGGTGATTTGTTCACTTATCTCAGTGTTTACCTAAACGTTCATTTAATTATCTTCCTCGGATACTTCCAGAAAAAATAAATTATTTGCCAAATAAAATAATTTATTTACTGCTGATATACCAACGGTATAAAAATTATTATAAAACAATAAAAAAAAAAACATTTAAAATAAACAGACACACATATTTGTTTTATTTTTACTAACAAACTGTGGAGGTTTACTAATAATGTGTTGCATTTATGTGTTTGGATCCAAATGCTCTATACGACAAAATGATGAACTTATAGAGACATGCTACAAATTTCAAAAAAAATGGTTTATTAAATTCCAAATGTTTTAAAGGTATTATTTAAATATTTCTTACCCTTTCCGCTAAATTAGAACGAATTATTAAACAAAAAATTATCTTTAATAGTTTCCTAAATATATTGTTATAGAATTTATTAGATAAGATAGAGAAAAATATTGTTCGTTTACCTGAGTCATAACAAAATAAACCGGACATAATTATTTGTATCATGTCATGCTAAATAATGACAATTTTTAAAATGAATGTATTTGTTATTTTTTTTTTTTACACAAAATAAATGAAAACACTTCGTAAGTGATCTAAGTTTGGAGTCGTCATTATTATATTGCCAACACAGTTACATTATTATTTAAATTATGTGTGTATATTTTTTTATCAGTAACGGTGGGGGAAATGGGGGGTCGGTGGTTCAAGCTCACAATTCAGAAAGAATATGTCTACTTTTCAACTGAAATGTCTTTTTTTGTCTTCGAAAATGGCCTTTATAAATAATGGCCAATGCAAAACGGAGAGAGAATTATTGCAATGTTAATACTTATACATATTTTATCATGCGGGTAACAACGATGGTTTATGCAATAAAAAAACAAATGCAATAGAAAAATGTACACAACGTGTTCGGATTTTTCAAAGGGTAAGTATATTATTCGGGAGAGACATAAAGGTTCCCTACTTTAGAGACGTAGTGGTCGTTTGTTCCTGTAATAATAAAAATATATCGTTCGCATGCGAGACAAGCTTAAGAACACATTTTCATTAAATCCACCGACTTTTTCTACCCTTACTTCCAACTCCCTTTTTTTTTGGTACTAAAGAAACGTTTCTTTTGTAACCAGTAATATCTTAAAAGGGACAGTGTGTAATGTACACAGTGTATACATATACTTAATATTTTTACGACCGGTGATTTATACATTTTTTCTCTCACTGTGGATCGTTATGTTTAATTATTAGATAGAACGTCACACTATCTGGTTATAACTAAGTACTAAATAGTATATCACTAGTATAATATACTATATTGTTTCGCCATGAGATTTTATTAGCATACAAGTATTAATATTTTGTGTGAGAGGGATTGAGAAAATGGCATGGTAATAATTTTTAATTTTTCTCCCGTTTATTAATTAAAAGAGTTTTGTTTCCCCGTGTTTAACAACTCTTAATAATAACAAGACACCGTTCTGTGTTAATTACTGCTTGTACAATAACCGTTCTGTAAAATATAATAATTCTAACATGGTGATTCATTAGGCTCATAATATAAAAAAGTGACTAAAACAAAATGTTGTTTCACCCTAAGTAACCCGCAGTCTTAATAATTACTGAGTTAAAATTATTATAGTCATTAATGTCTAACTTAAATTTATAAAGAACCATTTTAATAAACTCAAAGTTGGGGTTTAAAAGTAAAAATAATTATTACTCACTTAATATAATATATAATTTGATTGAAAATTCAATACATTTTTTTTAAAAGTACCATAGGTTATTATTTTTTACAAAAACAGACATTATTTAAAACTTAAAAAATATTAATTTCTTATCTACAACTGTGTCGCAAATACTGAAAATTAAAACTTCTTGGGATGATTCAAAATTGTTTGTTTTCAAATTTCTTTTCGATTGCAGAGAAAAAGTATTATGGGGAGGAGAAAGGGCACATTTCCCCAGTTATGGCCATTGCCTTGAGCGAAAAATAAACTTAATTTATATTGTACCATAGATAAAATAATACTATTATTTAATCTAGGACTGTACCTATAAATTATGAAACCGCTCATGCGTTATAAAACACATTATACTAGAAATTCACGTCAATCAAACTGAAAGATAACAACCCACCTTGAAAGCCTCGCTGTAATATAAAACATGGATTAAAAGAAAAATATCATACAAATAGGGTTTTTTTCCAGGGAAGTAATAATTGGACAAAAAAACTAAACACGGATATCCATATAATTATTAATTTTTTTTAATAGCGTGTATAGCACTGTAACCATAGCTAATAAGCTAATAATACGTGTACATATATTATAGCAAAGAGTTTTTAACTATATTATATCTATATATAATATATTGGCGTTTTACTTAGAAAACTTAATATGATTTTTATTCCGATTATTATTACTATGTTGTTCTTTAAAATAGATTAATTATTACTAGAATAGATACAGGGTATACTAGTTTATTAAATCAAAATTATAAAAATTAAGATTAATGTTAATAGTTTATAAAAAACTAACCTTGTTATTACACTTGTACACAATTGCATAATAAAAAAAATATTAACTAAAAATTTGACATTTGACTAAATAATGAAATTGTATTTATTTTAAATAATTAATAAACATAAAAAAATTATTTGAAACAACAAAACAAAAAGACATTTTGAAACATTTTATAATTAATCAATTATAAAATATAATTAAAATACACATTTTTTAAGATTTAATTATTACTAACTGACTTGTCCAAAAATATCACGATATAAATAGTTATTTAAAAAAATTTCTCAATGAAATATAATTATAAACTTTATGATTACTAAAAATGATTTATTTAGTTTGGGTATTATTTAGATAAATAACTAACAATATAAATATACAGTAAAAAAGAAATTCATCATTTCATCATTCATTCCATTCCCTGGACATTTCTTTAAATTTCACTCTTTTGTTAATGGTGTTAAAGTCTGCATATTATAAATGTAAATACAGTGGGCATTTATAGCATCATATAAAATTAAACCAATAAAATTTGTATTCATAAATTATTTTTTTAAAGAAAAACCAAAAAACAAGGGTTATACAAATAATAATAACATTAATCTCATATGATAGTGACAAATTTGCATATAAGCATTTTTACAAAGATTTTATTACAAGCTTTTAATGTTCTATATGGTCAAGGTGATCAAAGTTCTACTTTAAAGCAAGTTTTTCCTAGAAAATAGTTGTTTGAGCTAAACAAATTGCAAATCAAATCTTTACTATATTAATAAAAAAACAAAAGTAGCTTTTAGATAGACTATAAAAAAAAAAGATTACTAAGGTGACTGCAAAGTCGCCACCTAAGTATTCGCTTATGACTTTTTGTTGTGAAACTTAATTCAGAATTTTTGTTTGATGATATTTTGTTTACTTTTTTTGACTTAGTGGAATAACAATTGTTAAGCGGATGGTGTGAAAACATTTTTGTTTTTATAAAAACGAAAATAGATTTTTTTGATATAGAAACTACCAATTAAACTACTAGTCGCCTGTCAAGGATATCCGGATTCCCTTCCAACCGCCGCTTTTGTTCTAGATAAACAGTGTATTATGGTAAAATATGTATTTATTTTTTTACGGTTTTACATGCACACTTTCATAACATTGCACGCATTGTCCATTATTTTATAATAATAATTAATCATGGTGTGTTTTATTTTGCAATATGCGGCGTGCATTAGATGACTGATAGTAGTAATTGTGTAAATAACAATAACCATAGATTGGGTATTATTTCAAATGTATCATTCACATTATACTTTCAATACTCGGGCTACTCGATTATGATCTAATTGACACTTTCTACACGGGTTTAACGTCGAAGCTTACCTAAAAAAAAAGGTCTGCGCGCTCCGAAGACTACGGTTATTATTATTACTAGGCGTAGGTATTATTATAAGTTAAAATATATCATAATAATATTATTTTACTATATAGTACTTTGTGTAAACGTACCGGCGTGTATACAAGTATAGTAACGCGGATATCTGTACATAATGGTGTAGCCGCGGTCGTTTATATGAACCGTCGTGGTACAACGTCCGGAACGGTTGAACATGACGTTACCTATGTATGTATATTATATTAATTGCGATACGATTAACGGGTTAGGTGCAAAAAGTTGTTTGTAGAATTTGTCAATTAGTAAAAAAAACACACAGCGATACACACTATAGTAGGAAAAACGCGTGGACAACGGTCACCTGGGCGCGGCGTTAACTTTAGAACCGTCGCAAAGGTCGGTCCAACGCTCTGTGATAGATAATCAAGTTAATATTATTATGTACACACACATAACATATGCCGATAACGAATCGCAAGGAGTCGACTTGTGAAAATATAATATCGGACCGTTTGTAATTTATTTGTACTGACCTTTTTTTTGTTGTTTTTGAAATCGGTTCATCGAGCTGGTCAGGGCCGACCAACAGGCTTCTCGGCCCTCGGCCCCGAAACTGTAGACCACGGGTTTCCTCTTGACCTCCGCCATGGCCGAGGGGGTGGGGGAGGGTTGTTATTGGTGTATTTGAATTTTAAAATATTTCCTATAACAACAGCTGTAATAGGTAGGTACTATTATTGTGGTCGCGGTAACGTCGTTTCCTGTGACACACGGTGCGCAGGTAACCGGCGGCGGCGGCGAGCGATCGATAATGATTTATTATATATTATAATATCGAAGAAATTAAACGACAACAAAGAAAAAAAAATTATTAATTAACTATCGGTTTTATCGTACTTGCGAAACACATGACAATATTATATACACTTTTCAGGCGCCTTCCACGGTTGTCGTCACGGGTGGACACGGCCGGTACACGCAAATAGACTGGCAAGCCAAGACGTTGGCTGCGACTCGGTAGAAAAAAACCCTTGATAAGCGCCCGGCGGTCCGCTAAATATAATTACCTTTCCTAGGCACGATGATAACGTACAACAGCTATATTATTATTATGTTGTTGTTATAACACACACCGAACAGGTATAATACCCGATAGGTGTACAATACCAATTAACTTGACCGAACCGGCTGGAGGGGTGATGACAAAATTGTATACGGGTCGCACAGATAAATCCGTGTACAGCTGTACAGGCCTATACATTATACAGGCTAACCGAAAATAAATAACAATAGTAATAATAGTAATATTGGGTAATTGATCAATCGCGATTTTGCGGCATAAGCAGCAACAGACTTTTTGCCGAAAACTTTAAAAACCCCACAACTTTCTTCGGAAATCTATACTAGGTTATGAGTGCGTAAACTTCCATACTAAATAATTTTGTTACAGATAGATTTTGCGAAAAAAATTTAGATTATTTTTTTACTGTTCTTGTAAATGCTTTGATCAATCGCGAGAATATGTATCTTTAAAATAAATATGGGTTTGAAAAAAAAATTGGTAAATAAGACCAGCGCATTTATAGTATACATTTTGGCCAAATTATAATCACACCCTGCTAGAGATCTAAACGCATAGATTAAATGAATGGTATAGGGAAAAAACAGCAGTCACTTTTTTCTAAACCTAAGAAAAACATGTATAAAGTAATGATTTAGATTTTTTCTAGTCACATTGAAATGACTTCTTTCGTCAAAATATTTATGTGTAAATACTAAATGTACACATCCAAATAGATACAGATTGTAAATGACCTGTTAAAAAAATAAACTATTTTTTTTTATTAATTTTTAAATTTCAAACGTGTCGCCATTCCTAATTGCTGGAATAAAGGCGTTTTTCCCTATTATAAATCAATAAATTGATTTGAAAACAATTGAGTCGACCGAAATCGATTTAAACTTATTTCTTCAAACTTTGCCTTTATTGTTTCCTTTATGAAATATCTGCTTCCTGTCTTTATAAAAATAAAGTAGTAATTTGACGTTAAACGGAAATGGAAACATGTTTTCTTCAGATATAGTCTATTTCGCCGAATCGGAATTATTTGTTCTAAGAAACATTTTCCATTTAAAATTGAAATCAAAACATTTGTGTTTAACAGAAAACGTCGATTCGAGTATTTTTGCTAGAGAAAATAATTTTTGAATAAAAAATACTTATTTATTCACGATTACAACCAAACGATGAACAGCTGAGTAAACATCATGTCAGCAGTGGCACAATAAAAGCTTTCCCCACCAGCATAGGCAGGCCAATATGTAGCGAGTCGTGTATGCAAGTAATCGCAAGCCAAAATACACTTAAATAGTATTAAATAATACCTACTCAATAAGCGCATTTTGTATTTTATACAGACAGAATACAGTTATTTTACTAAGTAGCTTAGAAAAAAACAGCTGATTAATAGGTAGATTTACCTTTTTGTTTAAAAAAAACACTTCTATAGTTACACTAATTTTTTAACTTCTATAGTTAATAGCGTTTAAGAGAATGAAAGAGGATCAGACTATTTTTTAAATAATTTTTTGCTTTTAATCGGCAAAACACATTTTTATACTGCTATGAGTCGTTTGAAAGTTAGGTACTCTTCTACAATGTTTATAGAAATTAAAAATACAAATATCAGTAATTATAAGTATAAAAATGTAGACTAGTACTTATTCAGCAATTAGTGTTGAATTATTTTGTGATTGCTGATAGCGCGAAGTGCGATGGAGACAAGGAATAACGTAATAAATAAAAAAGTTTTTGTCTTTTTACTACGTATTTTTATTTATTTATAAAAAATTATATGTATAACAGTATTAATGTTCCTAGAATACATTCCCATTAGGAGAAATTTTGTAGGACAGTTCTGTTCATAAAAGAAAAACATTATTACTACTCAGTACTCCGGTATCAGCAAAGGAAGTCATAAATCATATTAATTAATGATATTTGAAATTTATTCAATTTTACTTCAGATATAACAACAATAGTATAAAGCAGCCAAATATCATTAAATTTATACGCCAATTAATCATTATTCGTTATTATGCATTATTCATAATGCAAGAAGAGAAAAAATTGAAATAGTTATTTTATTAGAAAAAAACCAGTACAGTGGGGTCGGTGCATAGCGGGGACGGGGAGGTGACAGGATTACAGGAATTTTTATAAATAAAAGTGAATAAAATTACTTTCAAATAAACGCTTTGATGCTTTTGTTTTGTAATTTAATCGGTCATTTCAAAAACGACACAAGCCACAAAATTGAAATTGTATATTTATTTATTGTAGTTTTCTAAAGAAAAATTGAGTCTCCAACATTGAAATTAAAAGTAAATCTTATACTGCTACTGTGTTGGAGAAAACAATAAATTTTACTTGCATATATTACTTATTAGTTAAATATTTCTAACGTTTGTACTTTATAGCCACTAGCTGTCGGCTGTTGCCTGTTAGATTTAAATTTTTAACAATACTATAACCTTATATGGAGATTTAAGAAATTGTGTTTTTTTAATGATAGTATTATTTTTGAGAAACCAAAAAAATTGTTATTTTCTTTAAGTTAATGTTTCACCGAAGCTAAAAATAATGAAAATAGTTTGATGAAATTTCAAACTGCTTTCATAAAAACATCATAAATGCACTTCCAACATCTGTGAACTTATGCCACTGAAATAGAATTTATTAATTAACAACCAAGTAAAAACAGCTAAGAGTCTATATTATTAAAGTGGTGTAATAAAGGCAACAAAGTTATTGTGACAAAATCATAATATATACATATGGAATTTACCATCATTCATTTGAACAAACCATAGTGTGCTTTAATAATAAAAATATATTTAAAAAAAGTTGTTGCAGTACTTGGCTTTACTGATCAGATCAGCAAGTGCCTTGTGCTTGAGTAAGTGAATGCAGCGGATGTAACTTGGTGGATGCAAAGCGCACATTGCGGCAAAGCCCAACCACGGTGACGAGTTTATCAATGCCTTCATGTGTCGTGCCCGTATAAATATACTGATAACATTGCTGATGATGTACGCAATAAAATTTGTCAAAATTATTGGCGTTTAGGGGATTCAATAAAAATTGTTATACTTTTTAAGCTTTTTATTTTAACTGTCTTTTTATTTATAAAGACTTTTTTTAAAAATACTAAAGCCAAAAGAAACTTATAAAGACTTGAATTTTAATATAAATTAACATTTTACGCAACTATAGTTAACAAAAATAAAAAAAAAACAACTATTAATTGTGGTAAATGGTTTGGCATAAATTAAGTTAAAAAGTATTTTAAATATTATGTTTATTTTAATGAAATAATAATAATATAACCTTGCATTTTAAAATCATAAGCAGTATTTTGTTTTTATTTGATATTTTTGCAGTAGGTACCTAAGCAATATAAAGACTTATTTGGCTATTATGAATAATGAACAATTTAATCCATATTAAATTGAATACCATTATACCAGTCCACAACTATTATATTCGACTAATCGTGATCAAACTGTATTCTCAACAAAGAAGTTTACTTTATTTAGATACATTAGATATTTTTACAATTATGATAAAAATACTTTATTATTAATTTTCTTACCCGATTCCTCATCGGGCTCTTTCTTCCCTTACGTTTTCCAGGCATTGGACCGCGATCCAGCACGCTTGACCTATCGCTGTCCCTTATTACGGATATGTGAGACATTTTTGTACCACTATTAGGAGTTTTCCTTGGTCCTACGACCTCCAAATCCTTAAATATAGATCCCAGAACGTCCCGGATCGATTGCCGGTGAGAAAATGCCAAAAAGGACACTCCTTCACGGGAAACCTACGTATTTACCTATCGGTTGCTATACAATATAACAACGTTAAAAAAATGTTTTTTTAATTTTCCAACACGGTTGGCCAGAGCAGACCAGAGCTTTTGCCGTTGTTGATGCTGCTAGCTGCCAGTTGAACACCGGCTGCGGTGGATAAGGTACAGCTAAAATGGGTTGTGACGGATATAACGAATCAAATACAAGCTTATAGTTGACCGACGTATCAAACACAACCCAATACAAATAGACTCCTGTTGAACCTTCCATTTTCAATTGAACTAATGAACAAATTAACAAGTTATCACCGAATATAAAGTTTTAACAAAATAAATGATTATCCATTAATAATGATAATAACAATAAGTTAAACGCAATTACAAAATGTGACTAAGTTATACAAAGTTTTATGTATGAACACATTAAACCTAACCTAAACACGGTAATAATCGCTAACACAATCGATTCCATAATTAAAATAAACTAAAAATTATCAGTAAAAATTTTACATTTAAAAATTTTAATTCTAATATAAATTAATTTTATATACCTACGATTAAACGAGGTGTATAATATATACTAATTAAATTAAACTACTATATAAAAACCAATATACGAGAGGGTATGAGGACGGCGGGGAAATCTAAACGGAAATTGAAATATCTTCGAAACAAAAGGTCCACAAATTTCTTTTAATCTTGTATAATGTAAATAAGTTTCACTTTTATAATTAAGTAATATATATATATGTATATATTTGTTTTGCACATGATCGCCATTACCTATAAAACGGGGTAATACCAGTCACAAAAAAATACATGTAAAATGATGGAGAAAACTTTAAGTTATTAAATTTTATAACTGTACAAGGAACCCAGAAGCTGTACCTCTGATAACCGATAATACTGTCAACTATTCATTGATGACGTATTTTAACTGACACTGTCGGTAGAATTTTATGTTTATCGGTTTATCTTCGTGGTTTTATCGTGGCTTGCGCTTGCCATTTTAAAGGTACTGAATAAAATTGGGTATTGCTATTTCGGTACCCAACTTACTGCTCTCAAGTCTGTAGAGAAAGACCTGGTATTGTTAAAGCGAAGTGTTTGGGGACCAGTAGCAGGAATATATCTTGTGGGGGCTCCCTGTGTGATCCAGTTAAACTCAGGTTCACGTTGTTGGACGTTTGGACGTTTACCACCGCTGCTTTGTTGGTGTTGTCCGAGTGCCAGTTTACACCCCCTGACCTGTTAAATTCTGAGACAATTATGAAGTCTATGTCTTTTTCCTTCGCTATTTGGCACATCAGGGGTTGAGCTGCTTTGGAGCAATTCAAATTAGCTTGCATGGAGCTGTTAATTTTTGGCACAGCGGGTCTTTTCGCCCGTTGGTGGGTATACTGTATGTCAATAGTGGTATATTTCCTATTTTCTATCAAGTGAATGCAGAATATTTCTAACTGAAAAATCATACCAATCAGTTTATGGTATTTAGTCATTTTCGGTAATTCACAAAAACAATTGATTAGAAATATCATAATTGTTAAAAAAAAATGGTACTTAATAAACAGACACGACTGACCAATAAGGTTTATTTACACAGAAGTTTAAACTAAGAAACAACTGATTAATATTATGCACAACTTTATTTCGATTTAATATATTATAAAATATGTAATTATTGACGTAATGATATTATTTAACATTAATTTCTTTCAAAAACTAGATAAATAACGTTATTTAATTAATTACGCTAGAAATTTAAAATACTGAATTTTTTTTTGCTTTTCATTTCTTAAAAAGCTTCTGAGTGATGTTTTTTTGTTTTCTTACATAGCAATAGGTAAAAGGCAAATTGCACCAATTGGCAAAGAAACAACTTTAATTCACCAAATACATAAATATAAGTATAAATACATTGCAATTTTTATATTTTATTATTATATTTGTATACAATTTACGAAAATGATTATTAAACAATACCTATTATCGTTATATATTAAAACGGGTTTACATTATTCTGGACCACGATTTGTATTATTGATATATATTAAGTAATTTTGTTGTTTTTGAAAAACGTGGAAAGAGTGGGAGGTAAATAAAAAAAGTGTATACACTATACAGGTACTAAAAAACACACCATAGTAAAATAATTACCTTCTGAGCTACGCAGTGAAGATAAACAAATTAAATTCTCCTTTTTGTCTAGATAAATTATATACTATAGTCTTTATATATTAAGTCAGCGGCTAACAAACTTTTATAATTTAAGCCTCTCAAGAAATATATAATTTTTTTCACACCCCCCATGAAAAATACAAAATAAAAACATAATTGACATTATTTTTATGTCAATAGAAACATTAGCTTATTTAATTTTATTTATTACAAAATAATCAATTCGTACAATATTTGCTTGTTTTGCGTGTCATAATGTCTCAAAATTAGGTAGAATTAATAGGTTCATAATAATAAATAAATAAAATACTATTTGAATTATTCAAAAATTGATCATCAGCAAAAAACTATATTAGGCCACTTAATCACTAAATTATGCGAAACTATAATAGGTACATTGAATGGTGCTTGCATATAAAAAAGCTACTGAGTTGTAGTTCGGTTTTTTATTACTCATTTCGACGTCAAAAATGTAACTGCATGGTTCAAAAAACAAGTAAATCATCGAATAGTAGATATTATCTTTTTTATGGTTTCCCATCAATAACATCACTCTAACAATAATATATACCTATAGGCTATGTTTATTATTTCACATCTAGCAACAGATGGATTTTTTTCTTTGTAATTTGAACAATATCAAAATACTGTTGAATTGATACTATCAATTTTGGTAATGTGAAAAGAGGATATAATTAAAATAGATCCAGACAACCTGTAAAAATGAAACCTAGGTAACCCATACTAATTTTGAAAAATGTATTATATACCTAATTAGACTCACTCGATTATTACTTTAAGTGAATACTAGTTTGTAGTTGTACTAGTTTGTACTGTACATTACTTGTTAATTGAAATTCCAACTTAGCAAACAAACATGAGATTGAAAATTATCAAAGTTTGTACGTTAGTCATATTGATGGTTGTTTATGCGGTATCCGACGTAAGTCCCTATATTTGTACATAGATTAAAAATAATATAAGTATTTATCTTTATTTTACAGAGTCTATTGTCTGGACTACAACCTATAAGGCACGAGCTACGTTTTACTAAAACTGAAGTGAAATTAAATGAAACCATTGGGAAAACCCTTGAAGCTACATTCAAACAATATTATGACACACAATATGTTGATTTACATGTAGAATTTTTTCGTACAGTATCACCCAGCCACGTAAGTGAGCAATTTTTCAAATTACATGTAATTCGTTACAACTTTAAGCTTTGATGCGAAGAAAGGTATTGATGTGTTATTATTTTTGTGTCTGGACCAACGATACCCTCCAAACATATGAATCGATTCCATCACGTAGTAGCAAGTCTGTAAAATCAGAAATTGTATCTAAAAGATACTTTATTTGGCCAAAAACTTTAGAAGGACTACTCTTTCTCTTTGAAATCGAAAAAAAACACCTAAAAAATGTACTTATTTTCCAACTAAAGATTAACAGACGCTTTACAAGGTGATCATTTTATCGTGAACCACTCATCGAATTTAATTAATAACTGAATTTTTTTTTCATAGTGGTTTATAAAATTTGAACCTTTATAACTTAAAAAATAGTTGCTTAAAACTGGTTATCAACCAGACAAAATGTTTAGTAAAATATTCTTAAGGGCCCTCTATACACACCTGCGTATTTTTAGTCGAAAACATCTCATTCTACTTCAAACGTATTTTTTTCAAGTATAAAAAAAAAATCCCAACATATTCTCCATAACATTGCGAATAAAATAACTATGACATAGAAAACATTTTTTTATTATTGGTAAAAAAATAAATAAATAAAAAACTGCAAACAAAATAAAACATTGTAAAAAATTCTAATCATAAAACTTTTTATTCTTCCACTCAAAAATATATCTAAAGTTTATACTGACGGAATGAAACAACAATATAGACCACACACACGCTCACACACACACAAATACATTAATTATTAATAATAATAATACGCGGGTGCGCCTGAAAAAGGGGCTAAGTCAACAGCTATGAACTATGAACAGGAAATGAAAAATAAGTTTTGAAAGCGTGCATTAGGATAGGATAGATATTTGTTTTAGAATAATAAAAAAAAATGTTTTATTCTCTCCTGTATACATTTTAATTCATAAAAATAACAATAACAAAACAGCTGCTAAAAGCTTTAAAAAAAAAAAAATGACAAATCTTATCGAGTTGAGTCAATTATGCCGTTGTTAAATAAAAGGGTGATTTTAAAAGTAATTTTAATAATAATATGTTATTATATTTTAATATATTTGAATATTTGCAATAATTGTTATTAATTGGTCACATTAATAACAATATTATAAACAATTTGGAAATGTAACAAAATAAAAACTTTACATGTTCATATTAGACGATAGAACTTTTAGGATCAGTTTTTATTCTTTTGTCATTTTTAGCTTTTCTAGATTTACTAGGGTTTGGCTCAACATTTACATGCATTCGTTCTTCTTGAACTGGACATTGTTAATCCATTTTGACATCATCTTGAACATTAATTGGATATGTATTTCTTATTGAGTCTTTTGTTTTTATGTCTATTTAAAATTATTTATATACTGGTTATATGTCCATTAAATCTTTTTTTCTTCCCTGATATTAGTTGAGGTCCAGTATAACATTAAGGATATTCAAGTTAAGGACTATGTTTTCATTTCTTTAACAAATGTACTTGATGCAATTGAATTCCATTTAACTAATTTTTATAAAACAATTTATAAGGTTTGTCTCCAATTTACATATTCAAACAATAAAACTGTTCAAGGTGTTTTATGGTATTTTTTTATCACAAGATCGAAAATTTTCTTCTATTAAGGTCCGTACCATCATATAGGGTATTCACCTATTCTCTGATAAAATCACTTTCGAAAAAACGCTTCGATGCAATCAGTAGTTAGTATTTTCAAGCCAGTACAGTCCAAACCAAGCACAGTGTAAGCCAGCTAAGTTAAAAAATATTAAATTGAGGTGCTGTATTTACAAAAAAGCATCAAAGCGTTTATTCGAAAGAGATTTTGTCCGAGAGGACTAGTACAGTACAAGATAGGCATAATGGAATTAAAGCAACAAGGTCACAGGTCTACAGGAATTATTATAAATAAAAGTGATAAAACTGAATAAAATCACTTTCAACAATACGCTTTGATGCTTATTTGTAAATACAACACCCCAATTTAATATTTTATAACTTTGCTGGCTTACACTGTGCTTGGTTTGGACTGTACTGGCTTGAAAATACTAACTACTGATTTGCATCGAAGCCTTTTTTTTGAAAGTAATTTCATCACTTTCAGATTTAAAAATTCCTGTAAACATGTGACCTCCCCGTCCCCACGATGCCCCGACCCCACTGTACTGGTTTTTTTATTAAGTGAATATCAAACATTTTTTTTTTAATTCTGATCATTTTTAAATCAAATATTTTTAAGCATTTTTATTGAAATCGTCTATTTAAAAAATTGAGCTTTCGATAAAAAATCAACAAGAACCACCTGTAGAAATGGTTTTGAAAATCTAAAAGAAAATATCAAAAATTTTCTTTTTATCTAATTAATATATTCAAAAGAGAAGAACAAAAATCAATAAATTACGTTTTTTTACTCATCCCAATTTATACGGATACCTCAACTCAATATTTAAAAATTGGGATTTTTATTTGAACTGTTCAACAATACTGTTGATTTTAATACAACATTTAAATTAAGCACAAAAATCTGATTTTAACGGAATCTGACAATTTTGACCGGTGAAAATCTGGTTAATTGACCATGAAAGATTTTGATCAGTCAAAAACCCGACCCCAAAATACTTTTAAATTGGTTTTTTTATGATTTCTAAACTATACATTTTTTTATGCTTGAGCCAACATTATGACAACTAATCATGTAGAATAACTATATTGGTGGGCCGATATTTTTCGTTATCAATTGATCTATCTATCAAAAACCGCATCGATTGTTATTTTAGTGAGTCCCAAAGCTATTATAATGTCAAACTGAGGATTATAATACCCAAGATAATATAAGCAAACATTTAGATGTTATCATTGTTGTAAAAAATACCACAATTCAAATGTCTTGCGATAACCACATCCATTTTCCATTGCATGCAAACTTGAATTGCTCACATACAACTGGACTGGTTAGATATTAGATTATACAGTGAACGATATTTGTTGTACACAATTGTTCACCATGAAATACAATGAGTAAATAGCATTGCTCTTTTAAATTATTATAAATAATTTTGTATGCATCGTTGTTTTTTTCAGTTCAGCCTTGAAGTAATTAGATGTAAAGAAAACTTTATAGATTGCTACAATATTAGAACCTTGGACATTGGTAACGCATGTGGACACCTAACTACGATTATGAGTTTTGTAAAAACGTCTTATAAAAACCGCGAGGTTAAATGTCCATTTGATGTAAGTTTTTGTTGCATAATTTTTTGTCACACGCGGTTATTGTTATTTTCACTCCTAAGTCATAACGCACTTTGTTTATTGTTTAATAATCCTATTCATATTTGTTTCCACCCAATTTTTTTTTCTTCGTACACTTTTAAATGAATGTTTATTTCTTCTGTTCACCATACATTAACTTCAAAAAAAAGTTTGTGGTCATTAGCTTAATGTTTGGTTGGTTGTTAATTGTTTGGTTTTGGTCGGCTTGTATTAAGCAGTGACCAACACAGCTTCACCGCAGTTAGCTTATTGCTGTAGTTGTCAGACAACTAAGGTTATTCAATTAATAAAGTCATATTTGAATAATTTATGATTTATTTTACAGGGAGAACTTATAATAAAGAACATATCAATCAACGTAGACACAGCAATGGGCGTATTTATATCACCAATGGATAAATGGTGGGAATATTGTTACAAGGTTTATGTGAATTTTTATATTGCAGACGAAAAGGATGCAGCAGGATTGTTGCATGCCTCGTACTGTTACTTGACTTTCAGAAGTCGAAACCGAAAGAAGTTGAATCAGAAACCGTAAACTTATGAAAATCTAATGGCTTAGAGCTGTCCGTGTTGTTTCTTCTTTTTTACCTAAACAAGCTCAATCAAATCGTAGAACTTCTAGCTTACATAATTGTCTACAGAAGTGATATATTCATGTGATTATTTGTAAGAAAATAGCGTAGTATATTACATCTTGTTTCAGTTAATAATTATTTTTAAAATTTTATTTTTGTGTAAATGTTTTGATATATTTTCCGGCGACAATTTACTAACGCACGGGGACAGTTCATATTTTACTCACATAAGTATATAAGTATATAAATAAATATATTGATGTCGGGCAGTGTTGAGAAATTTTTTTTATGACTGCACTTTTGAGACTATCTATGATAAGCGCCAACTCCTTTAACAATATTTGTTGTCTAAAGACCTAACCTATAAAATAGTAATGCTGTATTACTACAACACTTGAAAAAATATTCTTAAAGCTAAAGTATGACAATTGATGAAAGCCTTCATTTGATGTTTCATAATGACACTGTTTTTTTCGGTATTGGTGAGTTGCGGCCCAATCCCTAAATCAAGTACGAGTTGCGGCCCAGGTTTATGAGAGGGACGTATGAGTTGCAGCCCGGGTTTAGGAGAGAGACGTATGAGTTGCGGCCACATAATAATTACCACTTTATATTAGCCTATTAGCGTTACTCAGGAGACACCACGGGGAGGTTGGCTGAGTTATCTCCCAAAAATGTGTTTTTTGGTCAAGTTAAGGTCAAGTTTCGTCATGTTATTTGCCGATGAGCGATTCCGTCGTTGTCATTTTAGTTATTTTATATTATTGAGTTGACAAAAATTCATCTGTCCTAACTCTAATAACACTCTGACACTCTAATAACTTCAAAAGTAACGAGATCAGATAATATAAAACAATGCGAAAATAAAAATTAATTAAATCCTATAGGCTATAAGATATTGAGTGGATCTCTTTAAAAAAATCGTCCTGTATAACTAAATTGGCGATAAAAGTTTCAAGATAAAAAAGGTTGTACGGCCGCAACTCATACGTCCATCGAAAACTGCCGGGCCGCCACTCACCTACAGCCGTTTTTTTTATCAAGTTTGTTTTGCAAGCAAACTGATAACTTGATTATTATTTGATCAATTTTAGTGGGCTGTAAGTTAAAGAAAACAGATTTTATCGCAGTTTAACAAATTAATTATTGATAAGGCATATTTTTAAAAAATACATAAATTAAATTAAAGTTCCTGTGGCATCAGCATACCTTATGGTAAACACTAAATTGAGTATAATTGATATATTTATAAAAAAAACATGAAAATAATATTATAAAATGTTCCGTGAAAAGATTGCAAAAATGGTAAATAATTTCGATGGTCTAGCACACAGATGTGTTAAGTGGCATATAGCAAATTGTTCAGTAAAAGCATTTGAAAATTCACATTTAAACAAACTACAGTATATAATATCTTAAGCAACAATGACATCTAGTGGATTAAATATGAAACAATTCACATACAACATATTTTGTGCATCATATGAAAAAAAACATGAACAATTTTATTGAGTATTTAACTCATTTTCGTCAAAAATGTCACTTAACACATATGTGCGCAGTGCGCTTAACTATCGGATTTGATCTTTGATAAACATTGATAAACCTTCTGGTTCACTTTTTAATAGAGTATTATAAACAGTTCTGGTAGAGCGAAAACTATAGTATATTTTAAAGTGTGTGTATGATGAAACAGAGCAATTTACAAATAGAGTAGATGTTAGCGAGGGCCAGTTTGAAACCAATTCATGTCTTGTTTAGTAGTTAATCTTCGCCATGTTTTGCGGATAAGAGTACAGAATGTTAGGAGTTAAACTAGATAAATGAAGAGAGACGTTGGGAAAGAGTTGACTTGAGAATAAGTAGGTCCATGGAGGAATATTTAGAATTTTAGTTGGGTAATATAGGGGCTTTTAGAAAAAGGTATAGAACCGATTATGCAAGATGCAAAACAAAAAACAGAACAATTTAAGTATCGACTATGTAATAAAATGTTGAATTTTATTATGACGCAGTGAGCAGTATAAAGCATTTTTGGATTAGGTGGAAAATGTTAACGGAAGTGTTGTATAAAATAAAGGTGCGCTATTTATAGTAAAAACAATTTTATACATCAAAAGTAAGGCTAAGAATTTTGTTTGGAAGTAATTATTGAGCACTGGCCAATAAAAATTAAAATTGTAGAGGAAAATTCAGATTAGTTTCTATTTCAACATTATTTTTTTCTGAGTAGATTTAATTTAGCCTTATATGGCTCTTATTTGTATTTTAAATAAGATCTTAAATGGCCACACTTACATTTTATTAACTTTTTAAAATTAAATTTCTTATTAAACTATATGACATATTGAGTGGTTCACAATAAAATTATCACCCTGTATACAATAATATAAAATAATGTTATTTAAACTAATATTATGTTAAATTGATTATTATTATATTTTTTATATGTATAAAAGTGATTAATATTTGTATTAAATTTACAACCGTATTTGTGTTTTTACACAGACTACACGTGTCTATAATTTTGTGTGAAAAAATGTGTGATATAAAAATTGCATTATAATAAAAAAGAAAAACTTTCTTATGTTTGAGTATGAGTAATATTTAAAAACAGAACAATGTTTTAGGAGAAGTGAGAAAATTGTAAGTCCCTCAATAATTATTAATTAAACATAAATTAATTAATTTACAAATTTATTACTTGTTGTACGTATACGACTGGGGTTTATTTGTCGAAAACTTTTAAAATGCACAACAAATTTTATGGCATTGTAATGTTTGAATAGGTTTCTTAGCGGTGTTCATTGAATATTTCTTTGAATACATAGCGGTAATAAAAATTAGTGGCTTATGAATAAAATCTGTAGATGGTCTTAGATCGTTCAGGGAACTCGGTGGGTACTTTTATCTTAAGCTTGTAATATTTTTTAAAAATTACATTTTTTTTTTAGATTTCTAATAGGCCTTCAACCCTAAATTAAACTGTTATACTGTTAAATATCCAGTAAAATTTGTTTTCTTTCATCCCAAAGCTATTCGAACAACTTGGACCTCAGATATGCTGTAGAAATAATACAAGAAATATAACAAAAGTTAAAAATGTTTAACTGTTACAATATAAAACTTTTGGCTGCAGTTGTTTTTTTTCAATACAAAACAGTTGTTTATATTCTATAAAGTGTTCTGTCTAAAGTATTTTTTTATTAATCGTCGTTCGAGTACTCTAACCACTGAGCTATCCTAAAACTAATTTTATCGTTGTTAATTTTCACTATAATTTATAATAAATTTGAATGTTTGAAATTAAACGTAAATGTCTCCATCAAGGTAATACTACCGATCGCGTAAGCTGTAAAAAAAAATTCCAAACGGAAATAGAATAGCGGAAATAGCAATAAATTATAACAAAACTTCATGGCATACTATAAAACAAATATATATATATATGAAAAAACAATAGTCCATTTAAATATAAACACAATTGTTAGCTATTGTCATTCCAAGAGTTATGTGTTGTTGGGCAAGGAACAAAAATTAATTTTTATTACTCGTCAGCATTTTTATAAAAATTATAATATTATAACATTATTTAAATGCTACCTACCCACATACAAGTTGTCACCTTGAATCCGCTTTGCTAGGTCGGAGACAGTTGAGAGAATTCTTGAAAAAGAATGTACCTATTATGCAAAAATCACTTGCTGTATAGGTTTTATAATGATCAAGTTTATCACTATCCGTAGAGTTGTATCAAAGTAACTGATAATGGTTTTATTTCAAATTTAATACTACGTCCAGATCAGTGGTAGGCGGTAACCCTGACAGGAAACCATGTAATGCCTTGGCGTTGTCTTACAGACATTGAAAACGCTATCAAGTCAAAATTTACATTACTTGTTAAAACCAGAACACACGTTGTATAAAATTATTTATGGCATGATATTCTGATAGCTGAAATCATTTTAAAAAAGCTGTAAAAAAAAGGCAATAAAACACAGTTTAAAGTTGAGTTATGCCTTTTTGAACAGTTTTTTTAAAGATATTATATAATGTGCAGTTAAGCAATAATTAAATCACAGCTATTTCACAAAAACATAGTTAACAGGTCTACAACGTCACAACACGGTATCTGTATTTTTCATAATTTTACATGTACATGATTTTTGTAAAGTATGTTAGGCCGCCGACTACTTATCAATTTAAACTTTCAAAAGTTGTCAAGAAACTGAATGGAATTCAAATTAAATCGGTAAAATGGTATGGTTAGCTTTTTGTAAATCTGAATGTTGGTTACTATGTTTTATAGTGGATTAATTTTTGTGTGATTTTATATTGTGTGTTCTAAGGGCTGGATAGATAAGACTTTAATTATTTATATGTAATGTTTTATTTAAAAATACAACAACAGAGAAAAGCCTGTGCCGATTTGATTTATACACATTATTAATAATAATAACGAGACAATAATAATTTAAATGCGATCGCTTTCTAATCTGTTAGCATAATTTTTCATAATTCTCGTGTAACGTTTTGGTAGCTCAATAACTATAGTTCTAGATAGGTGATAAAGCAATTAAGACAAAATATTGCAGAATACATATTTATTGATTACATTAGTGATTTACTCAGAACAGTATTGATAGTCATACTCAAACTCCTAGTCTTAATACCTATAAAATAATTGTCATAGTACACTAATGATGTAATTTAATATAATTTCTCTTTTGAGGTACAAGGGTTTTAGTAGAACAATAATTTAAAAAAACCTAGTTCACTGAAACGGCAATACCAATCCACGATATTATTATATACTCGACACGTATAAAATATCTGCTTTGCATTGAAGCTAAAAAAACAACAAAATTTTCAATATTAATATATTTTTTACATTATAATTTTTTTATTAAGTTCTATCACGCACGCAATCAATAATGTTTCATATTATCATATAAATATATACCTGAACGGACGTTGGACTTTATCGAAAGGAAGGAATAAGTTTGGAAGCGTGAATGTGAAACGGAAATGAAAAGCGGAAAAATAATCAAATGCGGACGATCTCGTATGGTTTAAAATGTTCATGTAAAAAATAATATTTCTAAACATATTTTTTTTATTGTCTCGCTAATGTGTGTGATGAACGGTTTGTGTTATTCTTTCTAGACTCTTCGTTTAATTTAAATTCAGCGCTAACAAAAAATGATATTACAAATAACTCAAATTTGTATTTTAATCACACTGATGGCCGTGCATACACATTCGGCTGTGAGTTGTTAATATGAGTTTTTTGCACTAATTCGTCGACAATTACAGTATATTATCGAGTAAGGTATTTTTGTTTAGGCACAGGGCCCGTTGGCTTTACTCCAGCCCGTAAGGCACGAGATGCGCTTTTCCAAGTTCGAATTGACGTTCAACAGCTCCTACGGAAGAACCATAGAAAACGGATTCAAACAGTATTATGATGTGCAGCTCCTCGATTTCCATGTGGAATTTTTCCACGTCCTAAATCCAACACACGTATGCCGTTTTAGACTTGGGTACTAAATATGTATATAATATAACAACACAGCAGCTATGGTTTTCTGTTACAGATGACATCGGAAATAGTCGGTTGCAAGGAACAGTACATAGATTGCTACAACATCAGGACATACGATATCATCAACTATTGTGATAACATAAAGGCCGCTTTGTATTTTGCTAAAATAAACTACAATAACCGTCCACCACATTGCCCTTACGAAGTAAGATATAATATTCTACGTGTATTTATTTAGGCTGTGACGTTGCATTTCATTAATCCAGTAAAAAATCAGTTAGGTGCAATAGAATTTTTTATAATTTATCAAATTTCCAAGACTGCAAAAAAAAAAAAAAATGTTTTCAAAATTATTTGATCTACTGATACATAAATACTTTCAAAACCGTTTTTGTCCGAATTTTCAATGTATCAGATGTGTTGACATTTACTTTAAAATTATTGTTATGTAAGTGAAAATATTACTACTCGCATGATAATATTTGTACAATATTTTTAAAACGTTGAAACTTCAAAAAATAAATTGTTTTCATACTTTTAAAATGTTAAATTATCTATCGATACTGTTTTGTCAGTATTTAACATTTTTTTGTCTGGTTTAACGTAAAAATGAAGTAACAATATCTTTTTACACGCCTAAACCAACCATATTAGGTTTGGCATACTTTTATTTTTTCTGGCTGTCTATTATTTGTAGTATTTAGGATAAAAAGATAGGTTTTTATTTTCAATACATTTGTAAGTTAGATCTATCTATCTATTTGTGTATCTATCTGTTGATAAATTTGATGGCACGATTAACAAGCGCTCACATTACCTAAAAATAAAAAAACAGTAATATTGACGACAATACTTTATCAACAAGTTGTTTACCAAAATACAAAGATATTTCCATTAAGAGATGATTTATTGTGTAGATAAGAGGATTAATCAATGTGTTTGTCTCGAGCATGAACGAACAATTTTTATTTTAATCGATAACGTATTTTATTAATAATGTAATTATTTATGTGAACAGAATGAATTGATCGTAAGAAACTTAACAATCAACATGGACGCTGCTAAAAACATATTTTTCTCCCCTACAGAAAGATATTGGGAACGTTGTTACAAACACATTTGGAAAGTATACGACGGTACTTCATTTGTAGTGAGAATTGACGTATTTTTCTGCTTTTTGACTTTCAGAAACCGAAGTCGTAAAAATCAAAAAAATTAGATAATGTTATTCGTGTGATCACTTTTTGTTTTATTTTGAAACTAAAAACACCGATTAGTCGATTTGTGTCACACTAGAATATAATGAAATAGGCTTCTAAGTAGTTGTATTCCATACCATTGAATGTTGAATTAAATAAATGATTAAAATTATATTTTGATTTGTTCAAATATGCGTTTATTTATTTTTTAATGTTGAATTTTCATTATATAGTCGATTAATTAGTTTTATTGGATGAACCAGGACACTTTTTGGAAATTTTACTACTAAATCTTAATTTACTTAGTATAAAGAACTTTTTTTAAAAACATGCTTTTCTAAAAAATAACTAAAAAGTGAACTAAAAAGTAAAAAATAATTTTACTATAAGAACAATTTACCAATCAATAGTAGCACATTTTTTTAAAGTGTCAGTTACTTTAAAAAACAATCGAAAATTAACTACAATTTTAAATAATGTTAAACATCTTTCGGATAATGTTTTATATTGGAAGTTTTTTTCTAATTTAAATTTGGTTCAATTTTAGTGACACATACATTTCATAATACTTAACTCGATGAATTTGGACTTTTTGTTGTTGTAGTGAATAATGTAATGTTTAACAATTAACTGTGTAATCAAACATTGACGGTTTTCTGGATAGGCTGATTTTGAAGTTTAAACTCATTATGTCCACTCACATTAGGTCAATCAAAAGTATTATCTAGTTATCTTTTATTTTCAATAAATACTTTCTAATGTAGCAACAAATTATACACACTAAATTTAGCTCAAATTTTTTTAGCCGTCTAAAACATCCAATGGCATTTTTTACGACGAGTCGTCGACCATATTATGTATTGACTAATAATACAAATTTAAAACGATTTGTAATTTAAAAAAAAAAGATTGTTATTATTATTCATGTATTTTATAAACGGTAAGTATCTTGATTGTCAATTCGAAACGTTGTTATTCTATACTTGTGTGTATGGTATATATACTTAAAAATTTTAACTTGACAGCTGTTGTACCGGTGTCAACAAATGCGTCAACACAGTATTTTAAACCCGTACAAAATATAGTAGCTAATCGTTGATAATATAATATCCTATTCTGTATTGTATAAAAACTATGTAATACCTAGTATTATCAATATCTAAGACCTATTGAACAATATATAACGTCTCTACCGCCTTTACGGACCGCGGTCGACATCGAACTGTTTTTAGTTAGAAACATTGAATTGATTTTGCTCGCTATGGTCGTGTATTTAGCAGACTCGTTTGTTTTCTGTATTAAACAATATACCTACCTACCTATTATTTGGAACATCAACGCGAAATTAATTATGAACGCGGCACAAAGGGAATACATAATGAGCAAAACGCATTAAATTATTTTCGCTTTACCGTAGCTTTTTTGTGCTGGCACTCGAAAATACGACGATTTATTGTTTGAATAACATAAAATGTAATAGAATTTCCATAACATTTTAATATATTATTACTGCCCGTTATTGTTGGCTGTAGAGGTAAAATGTTGTACTGCAAAGAAATACAATTATAATCAAATTTCAGATGAAAAGCCACTGTAAGCCAGGTCGAACTAATAAAATGTTATTTACATTTTATTTTACTTCATTTACCATAGAATATTATTATGGCGACGCTGTCGTAGAATACTGAATAAGTAATATTATTTTCGAAGGGGTCATAATTATTAATCTCGAAATAACGACATTATTCTAACCAACTCAACGGTGTTGTACCAGCCAACTAAAAAACCAATCGATTTTTACAATAGGCACACAACCGTAAACTTTTAAATAACTTATTTGATAGTTTAAATACTATTTGAAAGGAAAGAAACAGTGAACTGTCGTGTCGCATCTGGTGTGTAATTCTTAAATGAAAAGATTGTCTTACAATTGAAAGCGGTAGCGTTATGTTTTCCTGTAGTCAATACGCAGCACAGTAAAATAATATTATAACAATACATTGTTAATGTCAATATACTGGATTTTCTGGCCTACTATTAGTTCAGAGCCGCATGTGCATCGTACAGACTAAATAAAACCCAGCACGGTGTGACTTAATAATATATTTTAGGCCTTCAAAAGTTGTATACCGAATATTATGTAAAATAATCTTAATACATGTATAAGCGGATTAGAAAAATACATACGACAGGTTTCGTGTAACACAAAACTAAAAAAAATGCATTTTAATTTTTAGTAAAAATATCAATACTTAAGAACTAGTTTGTTTGTGACCTCGGACAAAATATTTTTTTTAAAACCGACCAACAAAGTATACAATTTACTACCTACCATTTAAACGAACAATTATCAACTATGATACATTTACAATGGCATTGAATTAATGATTTTTGAAATTTAATAAATTGAAATAAATAAATGTATATTACGTTTGTACGATATCTTTATACTATACAAGCACGTTAATAGCAAGGTAACCTCAAAAATGATTATGACATTTGTTATCAAGTTCATGACTATTTTTTAAATTATAATTTTCTATTAACGAAAATATTTTATAAGGATCTTTTTATAAGCGCATCGAATGTTTTGCTAAGAGCTTAATTGAGATTTCAAAACACGAATTCTTGAGTTAATCAAATCCCAATCCAAATAGCCGCCGATCAACAATCTGGAACCTTCATAACTCTTTCTGCCGTGCAATAGACGGTGGTTGTCAAATGTTAAAATATCACCTAGAAAATAACATATTTTTTTTTATAAAATATTTTATCCATAAATATAACAATACATTAATCAGGATATTAATAAAAAGTGACAGATGAGCCCAGTCTACACTCTACATACTTATTTTTTTAGTGTGTTGACCAATTCTGTGTGCTAACTATAACAAATACTAAAATCATGTACGTCATGTTCTATTAATGAAATCAAATGAGTGTTTATAATTTTGTCTTTGTGATGCGGAGCTAGATTAAAATTTTTATTTGGCGCAATAATATTAAATATAATATAAAAGGCCAGCATAGCGGAGCCAGACCTATCCAAAATTGATAAAATCAATCACAAAAAATGTGTGATGGTAAAAAATATGAAGTATCAATAAATATACACAAAAATCTGGTTTTTAAATAGACTATACACAAGTGTATGTTTAATAATTTGTCCTAATTGATTTTAATTTTAATTCAACAAGTTTTGTTTTCTCTGAAATTATGTGTTAATAATTAATTTCGATTTTGAGAACTTTTTAAATTTAAGGATTTGCCGTCGAGAGCAAAAGTGGTGTAAGTCACGTTTTCGAAAGCGGTTTGAGTCCTGCTTTGTTTGTTTTCTGCTAGATGGCGGAATAACTTTTACGGTCTCTCAGAAACTTAAAGTTGAAAAGTCTTCTATAAAGGGTATCGGAGGGTGTCTTAGTTACTCACTTTTCATACTATTTGCGTGTAAGCTAACAGTGTATAACAAGTCAAATGAATCTCTTTGTGCATTATATTTCTAATAAGTCTTTAATTATTACTTTATTGTGTCAGTCTTTGCGGAATTTTACTTAATCGTATTTATTACCTGTATGAATTGTGGCAATTTGCATTTTTTTTCGAACTACACTAACTTTAAAACTCAACAATATTCATACTTTGCCCTACTTTTTTTTTTTTGAAACTTTTAACTTTCGTGACTTACACTACTTTTACACTCTCGGCGAGTCAACTATAGTGCAATACTCGAACATGAACCTAATGCATGCGGCCGGTGGGTTATATGATGGTATTTGAACTCGGATAGGTATACCGACCGGGTTTCATTTTAAAAGTTGATTTCAATTTGTCGCTGTATGCCATTTTCACGAATTTTTCAACCGCCTCGTACCAAACGTGTACGTCTTCTAGAACCACCGGAAACTTTGAGTCTCTGTGGTGTTCGCTGAATTTGATCCTCTTGACGCCACCGTGTCGATCTTCTCTATATTAAATAAAAGAAAAAAAATAGCAAAGATAAAACCATAAGCCCCGGCGTTTTCGGATACCGAGATCACACTGTTTAGTTTCAATTTTCGCCGAGAATCGACTGGCGATCTCAGATTTACAATAAAGGTCAATAGATAACGCTATAATCACGATTGAAATATACAAGGCTATGTACTACCTACCGAATGATAGGCGAATGATGAACGCAATGGAACTTGTAGTCGTTGTCATGACCGCGGTCGGTCCACATCACTGGAATGGTGGCCAGAGCTTTGTAGTGTGCCGGATGGTTTTGCTGCATGTGTTGGCAAACGTTAAGCCCATCGACTACCTCGCTTTCGCCGCCGGCGCTTTCGGGCTGAACGATACAATGCAACATGATCACCTGTAAACATCGCCCGTGGAAAAACCTGTTGTTATCATTTGTTATCACACGACATGTAAAACACGTCAACGCAGTTCAGCTCACGGTTCAAAAAAAAAATATGGTTGTCCAACCGCTTGTGATAAAGTGACCCTCAAAGTTAACACGTTCACTGTCCTAATGTTAAATTAAATCAAAAGTTATCAGTCCTATGGTCCATAGGACTGATATATGGGTCACGTAAAACCTATTTTAGTAGTCCATGATCCACATGTGGTTCATTTCAAACATTTATTTCTCTGGAGATTTATTTGTATGGACTATATTCTATGAAAGTCATAATAACACAGTTGGACAGGTGAGATGATAGGGACTTAATTAATTAATTAATTAAATAAGTAGGGACTTTTCTATAAATAAATCATGAACCACATAGGGGTCATCGGACAGTGAACGTGTTAAAATATGTACAAATTGCAAACTCTCGAGTGGCGGTTAGCGTTCCAAGCCGACACGCATAACGATTGGTTGCTATCTTGCAGTTGGGCAACCATATTATCTTAAATTGTGGTTCAGTTTGCATTTCCGAAAATATTATGTTACCCCGGGAGCGTATTCGTAGTACGGCAGATCCGTGTGAAGTTGCAAGTAAGACGACCTGTACGCCAAGTTGGTAGCGTCCAAGTTATTTTCCACCTTGAATGTTTCCCTACAAATGTTTAATATAATAGTATTACATTTATTATAGGGTCACCATAGGTACCGTTTAAAACGGGATAGTCCCTTTTTTGAGCATAATGTCCCCTTGCCCCTACTAACTTTCGAAGGGAAGCTTTTTGACCGGTTTTTAAAAGATGGTCCCGTTAGCGGTTATCGAGCCAAAATATTAATACTAATAGAAAAATAATTATTTATTTTGATTAGGATTACAAAAGCGTGGTGAAATTGACAATTTTGGATTTAATGCTAACAATTTTTAATAGCTATTAAAGTAATGAATTAAACTAAATTTTGGGTATGGAAAAATATGATTTTCTCTCTGGGAAAGTCAGAAAATTTTCAAATTCCAAAAGTGTGCAACCTTCTTAAATGATGCTCATTCAGAGGTACTTTAAAAAAAAAACATATAATCATATACTGCTTGAATTGTATAAAATAAAATTAAACTTGAAAGTTAGTATACAAAACAATAATAAAACATAAAATATTTAAATGAGTCATTAATAATAAATTAGATTATTTTAATATTAATTGTTGTTAACAAAACATGTAAAAACTTTTTGAATTTTTCGTTGCATGTCTTTATTTAGAGTTGTGAGTCTCGTTTTTTAATAATTGCCCATATTTATTATCTAAATCCTCTTGAGCTCTATCACATTTAAATTGTATGGTATGTATTTAATAGAGATTTTATATTAAAAATAATCTACTAAACGCATAGACTATCAATAATTAGTTTTGGATAATTACTTTTAAAGTTACTAAAGTTTAATATTTGAGACGGCAGGTGTAGTGCGGTTGAATACTCCTTAATACTTCATTTTTCTCTTAATACTATTCCTGAGTATTTCATTGGCACAACCTTTGTTTTTGGAAAATTATACTCATAGATGGCCTATTAAGTTGCGGAAAGTGATGGCGCTTGTTGTTTTATCGTTACTTCAAATCGCCTTAAATGTAATTTATTGGGTAGTAAAATGTACTGTTTTCGACATGTTTAAATAGAACTACATCAAGAACGCCTGGCTCGTTAGATGTATGTTTTCCGTTTTGATATGAACACAGTTTCATTTTATTTTAGTATTTCAGGCTATTTTATAAGATTACTAATGTGCAAAAAAAACCACTATTAACTTCATTCGAACGATTCACATCGAACATAAATCTTAAAATATTCTCATACAATTTAAAAACACCCTAAAACATACATAATTTGATTTCTGAAAATTATTCAGTAAACCAAATCTCATTATTATAGTCATAAAATCATAGTTTAAGAATTATAAAGTTATCAATAATAGTATTTGTTTGGCATTTGGACAAAAAGGCACACGTCGATTTTGGCCATTTTCAGATTGCTAATTATTTTGTAAAACATGTTGTGTAAATTAGCAAAAAATGTTCAGTGTTCACCCCTTTGTGCTTAAGAAGTATAGTATTTATTAATGAATCATATTAATATAAAAATATGATATTCTAAAAACGCATAACCGCATCAGAAAAACCATGTTACCAAAAAAAATATGCAACTTAATTGCTAAGTCTTTAATATGAAATGCTGTATTGTTGTTGGGCCTTTGTTGGCAAAGAAATGTCACGACTTCATTGTAAACATTTTTTATTTTCTGTTGAACATGGACCATAATTTGGAAATTTAAAAATCCAATAGAAGTCGAGCATAAAACATGTATAAGTGTTTTACACCAACAGTTTCAAGGTTAGTAAAAATTATTGTACCGATGTCCTTCAAACAGAAACGCTGTGTTTGCTTAGAGGCATAATTACATTTTTAAGAGGGACATTTTTGGTTTTGGAAGTCAACACTCGAAAATATGATTACATTTTCACGGGGGAAATCAAATTGTGTGCAATAGCAAACTTTATTCGTAATGTATGTAATAATATGGTAACCTTGCAAATTTCATCTAAGATTGTTGTTGAGTGTTATTTGATCGTTTACGGTTTATCGCGCTTAACAGCTTATTTTATATACATTTATCATATATTCGGGATTTACTGACATAATCAGGTGGAAAAACGCAAGCGACTTGGTGGATTTTCGATCTATCACAGACATTTCGAAGTCACACATGTACACAGTTCAAAAAAGGAACTAAACAATTTTTTATCATAATATAGTAATAATATACAGTAGTTACATAGTAGGTATGTTATACTATGCTGTGGTATCTTGGGATAATACTTTGGACTTGAGTATTACCAGAAATAATTTGTTATCGTAATTGATATGTCTTTCTCAATGTTAAATATCATATTATATTTTTTCTTCTATTAAAGATTTAACATTTTTTTATTGTATATAAAAGATATAATATATTCATTATCTACGACTGACAACATGTATAACAATATATATATCATGATAATCTGAGCTGAATGATATCTGGACGATCTATTTGGGTTGGCAGTGTAGCTTAGGTACTTTTACAGGATGGTACTTACACAACAGATATTGGTAATGAGCCATATAAAACAGATAACTTGAACGTTGAACAGAACGTTTGGCATAAACACAAGATGTTTTATACTCAATAAAAACTTTAATCATATCTACAGTGATTCAGTACCGATTTCCACATCTACACATCAGCAATCATCACACATTATATTTTTTTAGTAACACTTAGATTTTTCGTGATCACTTAACAGAGGAACATACAAACCAAAAATACTCCATTTTCGTTTTATGGGTATCTAATCCAAGACTCTCGTTTTAAACTATACTGATTTTAATGATCATTTAATTTATTCGATTAAAGTTTTGTGATACTTACCCATAATGCGTTCGTTTTAAAAATCCTACTCTCTCGGCCAGTTCTTTGACCCTGCTTTCGTCAAGTCCGGAATTGTTGATCATAACGATACCATAAGTCGCCAATGAATCCAACCAGTCAAGTAAAACTTCGTCCCTGGGTAATAAACATAACGTTTTAATATTTTAATGTGTATGTATCAGTATAACCATTTGTTTTAAATTATCAGAAACAATATAAGCAACATTTACTACTTATAGGGTTTCTAATAATTGTGAATAACACTTATTAATTACTGTAGTTGTTGGTTTGGAGTCGGGCAGGACTCGGGCTCTAGGGTATAGTTTATGAAAGTATCTAATCTTAACAAAACAGTTGGTGATTATTAGTTGTGAAGTCTTCAAAACTTTACACTGTACTTTATCTGGGTGCATTCTATGCTTGATAAAGTTTGCTTTTAGTATAATTGCTGTAGAAATATGAGTGTCTTGCGGTATTAAAATATAAAAAAACTTTTCGAAGAGGGAAAACTGTTATTTAAAGATTAAAAGTTACGCAGTTTCTTGATATTTATTATAGCTTTTTCCGATTTAAAAGTTGCTGCATATGCATTCCTTCGTCAAAAATTTAACCTCCGTTGGTTTGTCGTTCGATACAAAATCAAGCGTGTCTTAAATATGCACAATTTGCATTTTATGTTTTAATTGTTTAACTTATTTCCAACCACAGTGAAGTCTATCACTGTTATGCTACGATTTTCTTCTTTTCTGTGTTTGTTGTTATCTCTTTGTTCGCTCAGCTTAAACCGTATTTTGCCTTAGAATAATACTTGGTTGATAACACTAACACTTGGTTATTAAGATTCTACTAACCAAGTGTTACTGTTACCTACCAAAAAAGCAAGTGGCTGGTGCTTCTTGCTTAAAAATAAGAGTACAATTTTTTTAAATTTTAAATTAAAAAGAATAGCCTAGAAGTGAGACGGTTAAATATCAAGTGACCAAAGCCATATCTTACATAATAGATAAATTGATATACATTCATATTTTTTTAAGTAAACCACGAAAGGTATAAATTCATATATTGTTATTTTTTTTTTAGATGGCTAACAATTCATCCTACTAAATGAAAATAATTAAAAATTGTAAAGTAATTTTATTTTTCATTATTCAATTGAGTACAGTAGTATCACAAAATTAATAGTTTTAACTTTTTTAGCGTGGAGCAATTACTTATGGTATATTTCTATAAATAATAAAATAGTAATTAAATGTTGATGTTGAATTTTAATATAAATTTTAAAATGCATCGTTCTGATATTTGAAATTAATATTTTATTTGTATGTTTTAATAATGCCCAATGTCTAAAATCACACCACATAAAAACTCAAAACAGTATTCTTACTAAATTATTAACTAAACTACATTCAAGCATTATTTTTAAGTAAATTGATCACATAATTACAATAAAACTAAAATAAGCCCCACTAACCCTCCAATCCCACGATAATTCGTCCTAATATTTGTTTCTTTTTATTTTTAAATCAATAGTGCTATGGCAGAAAAAAAATATTATCCATCAAATATTTAAATATTTAAAAGAAGTAAAAAAATGTGAATTTTCTAAGAAGATATTACAAATAAAGGGCAGTCTTAGTGAAATAGCTAGCTGTAAAATACAAGCATAAATGTTTAATAGCTGAAAAATAATAATAATTAGAAATAATATAAAACGTAAATAATATTAAAGTCTAAAAATGAGTTGTATACAATTCTAGCGTGAGTCTATTACATTTAAATCTCAAAATAAAAAATCCGGATTAAATTTTTTTTTTAAAGGAAAACCTGAAAAAGGTAGAAAATTATGAGAGATCGAGTATCTGATGAATATAAAAAGCCAAGTCATTTTGAGCTAAAAAAATGAGTGAAGTATACAGTATATGGTGTTCCATGTAACATCTAATTTTTTTTTGTGTTAACGTAGTAACATATTTTAGCTTCGATGCAAAGCGAGAAGGTATTGGTTTTACTCTGATGTGTGTTTTTTTTTATCTGTATACACTGTAACTTCTTTAATACTGGACCAATTCTTTCGAACAGCAACTCTATAAATCGCAATTTTCATCTAGTTGGTACTTTGGGGGGGTAAAAGTTGAAAAAGTTTAACTCTTCACAGACGAAAGTTGAAAAAACAAAAAAAAAACCGTACAAGTTTTTAAGTTAGAACTTTTACTGGCTATAGCTTCGAGAAAAAGAGTCGGATCGAGTTGAAATTTATAAGAAATATTTATTTAGTATGCCCGCGCACGTCAGTTGTATCAAATTTAAATTCAACCCAATGCCCACCCCCCTAGGGGGGGTACAAGTTTTTTTGTTTTTCGGGGTTTTTAGCCGTAATTTTAAGACCTTTGGGTTGAAAATTTGCCAGTAGTTGGAACTTATATGTATCCATAACATATTAAACGGAAAAATAATTCGGCACTACAGTTTTTTTTTAATAGCCGGAAAACTGTGTTTTCGCAGATTGCGTATATTTTAACAAAAACACCTAAAATCTTTAAAAAAAATTGATCAAATCATTAAAACAATTTTATGTATATCTATGCAGAATGATACTATTAGGTTTTGTGCTCAAGTACCACTTTTGACTTAAAGTTTACACAAAGTTCAATTTTTTTTACTAAAAACCCAGTGTACCAGATGTGAGAAACGAACAGACACTAAAAACTATCAGTTGGTAACGTCTATCCGTTTTAGATTAGGTTAGGGCCCAATGATCGGTATCATAACATTGTGTTTATTACATGATATCACAGGCGACTAAATCGTGTAACTGATTATAGTAGACACTCGATTTATTGGGAAAAAAACGATACGACAAAACCACTGTCGTTATTTCGTTATTTTATAGCCTGCGTTATATAACCTTACCGAAAGTCCAACTACCTGCAAATTATGAAGAGGACTGTTGTTTTTTGGATTCAGATTAAGTGTTGGTTTTTATGCAGTATACCGCCTCAAAATGTATTTTTTATTACACAATTTTTTTAAAGGAAAAGTAATGTTTTGCATATTGTTATACTGTTATTAATTTAAAGAGATTCACGCTTGATTGTTTAAATTGTCTAATATTAGATAATCTGATTCGTGCTAATTTTAATTTTTTAGTTTATCAACTTGTAGCTCTAATTTTGTATAAAATATTTCATTATTTTATTACTATGTACAGATTAAGATAAATTTTAATAATAATTAAGTCATAAATGATAATATTTTATTTTATGACTAGATCAAATCTCGTGAACATTTAACATCATGATACTGCTCCTATGATATTATTAAAAAAACACAATTTTTAAAATCTCCATAAAAGGTTATTGTTAAATAACAGGCAACAGCCGACCGCTAGTTGCTATACACGTTAGTAATATTTAACTAATATCTAATATATGTAGGTAAAATTTATTGTTTTCTCCATCACAGTACCAGTATACGATTTATTTTAATTTAAATGTAAGAAAATCGATTTTTCTTTAGAAAATAACAAGAAATTAATATACAGGATGAGGCAGTAAAACGGCGATTTTCTAATGTATTTAAATGGTAAAACCCGTTTCACTATCCCACCCTTTACATTTTAAAAATCTATGAAAAGGTTATTTTAGTTGCATTTTATTTTGTACATTGTCAATCTAGTAAAATAGAAGTATAAAATAGCTTTGAAATAATATAATCTGTGAAGTATAAATAGTTTGTGTGAGATTGCTTTAATGGAAGTATATAATACATAAATATTAATTTTATTGAGAATAAGCGATTATAATTTAAACTATGGAGTACAAACGATTGAAACATGAATCGTCGACCATTCCAACAAAATATAACAAGACATTGTATATGTGTTATTTGGTCCATTAAGTTTTTGCAAAAAAAAAAAAACCAGTACAGTGGGGTCGGTGCATAGTGGGGACGGAGCATAGTTGGGTCGGGGCATATTGGGGACGGGGAGGTCACAGGTTTACAGGAATTTTTAAATCTGAAAGTGATAAAATCACTTTCGAAAAAACGCTTCGATGCAAATCGGTAGTTAGTATTTTCAAGCCAGTACAGTCCAAACCAAGCGCAGTATAAACCAGCAAAGTTAGAAAGTTTTAAATGAAGGTTCTGTATTTACAAATGAGCATCAAAGCGTTAATTTGAAAGTGATTTTATCCGAGAGGACTAGTACAGTAGAGTGTTGGTATAATGTAATCAAAGCAATGAGGAAACGGAGAGGTCACAGGTCTACAAGAATTATTATAAATAAAAGTGATAAAATTGAATAAAATCGCTTTCAAATTAACGCTTTGATGCTCATTTGTAAATACAGAACCTTCATTTAAAACTTTCTAACTTTGCTGGTTTATACTGCGCTTGGTTTGGACTGTACTGGCTTGAAAATACTAACTACCGATTTGCATCGAAGCGTTTTTTCGAAAGTGATTTTATCACTTTCAGATTTAAAAATTCCTGTAAACCTGTGACCTCCCCGTCCCCAATATGCCCCGACCCAACTATGCTCCGTCCCCACTATGCACCGACCCCACTGTACTGGTTTTTTTTTGTACATGTTTGTTCAGATTACAATTTAACGTTAACATAAAATTCATATTATAAAGGAATTCTATTTTGTTGGAAAGTAATAAAATTTTATATTCCTTTAAAATAATAACTATTAAGAATAATATACTATACGCTCAAATTGACGCATTTTTTTGTGTAGAGAGACATGGTATTGTGTTTTTGTACTATTTTAAAAAATATATGTTTTAAACATGTTGTTTACTTAAACATCAACCAGTAAAAATCTGTAGAATACAAACAAAAACTATTATAACGATATTTTATATCATTATTATGTTTTTCAGTGTTTCTATATATAGGATCAACGTGACCTATATTTTTATGAAGAAAAACATGTTACTGTGTTTTTTTAAATAAATAAAAAATATGTTTTAGAACGAAAAATATTTTAGTTTTTTAGCTTTTTAATTATTAAACCTATTGATATATTTTAACATTGGTCATACCCGTAAATAGGCTACACGCGAATATTACCGCTTATTCTAAATAACTAATCAATTACAGTTTTGATATGAAGGTTTCTATAAATGTTATACAACTCTATAGCTGCAGTTATAATATATAAAGTTAAACTTTATCAAATTTAATTGTGCCCAAAAGTATTATGTATATGAGGCCAGCAGTTGAAGAAGTTAACATATATATGTATTAGGTACTTAACAAAATCGAGGAATACAAACAAAATAATAACAAAGATTTCAACTTAATAAGATTATATACAATAAACATAATTATAACAAATAATATCTGTATTTTAGGCTATTGTTGTAAAAGATGGATTTTCTTCAATATACATAAATATTTTTTACACCATCCATGTTAGGTAAAATGGCTAAAAGTCCTACGATTGTGTTAAAAAAAAATAAAAAATCAACTTCCTGTAAAGAAAAGAAGGATTGGTGAAATTTAAGTTTGAGTTTATTTTAAGAAAGGGTAGGCGTAGATATTGAATGACCGATAAAATCTAGCGTTTTTTTATTAAGGAAAAAAAGGATTGTCTACAGATTTAGAATGAGAAGATGTTATGGCCCCAATCTACGTACAGTCTAATTATAAGATTGTAATCCCACAAGTGCGATTGGAAAAGTAAAACTCATAAATAGTTTCCAACACTTTTAGGGCTTGAATATCCCATACAAATTTAGTATAAGTATTTTGACTACTTTCCAAAAATTTACATTACATCTTATTTTGAAGTAGAAAAACAGGTAAATATTTTGGGAGTTATTTCTCGATTTTGAAGGGGAAAACCCCTTCCCTTAATAGTTCAATACTATTGGTATTATACAATTTGTATTTAGTTTTTTTCCACAACGTAAAGATTTATTTAAAGGTCGAAAAAGTTTTTAATTTTCTAGGAACGTACTACAACAGGTATTCTTAATGAGAAAACTAGTAGAAAACTGTTTAATACGAAAATTAAATTTAAAATTTTTAAACCTACCTATTGAGAATATTATTGTGTACGCTTATTGTGGCTCATTTTTTTTATGAAAAAACATGTTGATGTGTTTTTAAGCTATTGAAAAAAATATGTTTAGAACGAAAAACATAATTCTTTTTCTGAAAAATATAAAAACTCTTGATATACCGTAAGTACATTACTGTTTAAAATCGAAAAATACAAATTACAAACTAATAAAGACAAACATTTCGACAAATAATTTCAAACTGTTAGAATATTATTATTAAATAGTCACATGTTAGATGAAATTCTGAACATCATGTACCTACATACATGTGATAAAAATAATAACAATATTGCCTCGAAGTCTTTCAGAATAGTTACAACTAGTAGAAATCTAAAGAACACAAACAACACTTTTTTTTAAATCTGAAAAATAATATTCATTGAGAATATTTATATAATGATTTTTTATATTATTATTATATTTAAAAGTATTTCAAACTCAAATAATTATAAAATAAAAAATAAACATTTATTTAAGTACAGAACTAATTTAAATGAAAAGTATTTGAAATTAATATATTAATCATATTTTGCTGTTGGACTTCTTTTCACGTTGACTTATAAGGGGTGCCCTTAATATTAAGATCCAAACAGTTGTCCAGAGAATCGAGAGTATATTATTAAGTTTTTACTTGTTTACCGAGTGCATGCATTATAAAACAACGTTTAGCGTCATAGTTATTGGAGTAAAAAAATAAACTGTTTTAGACAATATTGAACAGGATATTTTATATTATGTAATTATTGATTTACAACGACTGCGTCTAGTTAAACGAAACGGTTTTAAGCAGGTCGAATGCTAGTTAATGTGAATAAATTTTACTTATATAAATATATCATATGCTTCTCGTATAATTTAAATAATATATATTAAAATCCATTATCGATATAAAGACAACATTTCCATTGTTTCAATAAACGTTTGCTGAAATATGGTAGGAAAAGTGTTTATATAATAACTATCTATGTAATCGACGTTTTTTTTTCAGGTCAAGTCGAACAAAACGGTTATAATCGAGTCGAGTACAAGTTAATGTGAATAACCTTTATATTTATATAAATATAACATAAGCTTCTCGTACAATTTATTCTAAAATCCATTATCGATAAAGACAAATTGTCTATTGTTTCAATGAACGTTACGGTATTAAAAGTGATGAATGCTAAAAGTTTACACACTAAATAAAGCGAAACAAGTGTTTGATGTCTAACTATGTACCTATTCACACAATCTACATCTGGTTAAGGTAGAGGAACAGTTATATTCCCAAAAAGGCAACATTAGTTTTTCCGGAGCGTTCGACGTGACCATGTTGCCGTCTAAGCTGTTCGCGGTTCTGATTGTCGTCGCGTGTGTTTGGAGAAAAGGCGAATTCTGCGTTCGGCAAAGGTATGCAAACAATTCGTCGTTTTCGCATTACCTAAAACTGTTGGAAATAGACACAGGACATTCGCACGACAATCTGAAAACGTTCACGAGCAAACTGCAAATGTTGCTGATGAGAAACGTGGCAAACGCGAGAGACGGTCTGTACCGTGAACTGGCGTGCAGTTATGTGTACAACAGTTGTCACTACTTGAAATCGATCAAATACTTTCTGATCGACGAGGGCAAGTCCGAACTCGAGCAGCTGATCGCGCGTCGTGACAACCGCTCTGTATTCGCGTTCGCGGACCAAGTGGCGCACATGTTGAACGTGCTGTACAATTTCGGTTTGATCGAATCCATTGACCAACTGTGGCTGATGCTTTTGTACTCGAACCGTTTGAGATCGATGGACAAGCGACAGATCATCGTAGACCCACGTGTCCGGAACAGCGTTCTGCACGACCACCAGCTTGTCCAACAACGGCTGATGCGATTCACCGAACTCAATTGCAAATGGGATAACGTCTACAACGACCGGTACGGCAAATCGGTCCATTTCAGACAACTCGAAGATATCATAGACACACCGCAAACGTCCAGCATACTGAATTACATAGAAACCTTCGTGACCACCGTCCAAGAAAGGTTCGCCAAACTGAACGAAATCATAGTCGTGGAAAAATGCAATTCGTACTTCTCAATCGATCATCTGGTCTTGTTTCCCGTTATCGGCAACGTCGACACAATGAAAGTGTTGGTGTTGGACTTCATGGAAGTACACCAGAATGATTCGAAAACAGGTACGTTTACATATCCCGGAATAACAAACAACTGTTACCGGGAATATAATATAACCGAAAGCGTCGAGTCAGTAATTCGTGCCGCAGTCCAATGTCATAACGTTTTTACCAATATCGTCAAGTATATATTGTTGTACAATTCGTGGAAACACTTATGGGAAATAAGTTCAATTTTGCCGCGTTCGGATAGCCAAGAACCGACTGCCGTTAAGATAGGGTCGAAACTTGAGAACAAAATCAATTGGCACAATAATCTAATATCCGACTATTACAACAAAACCGTCGGCGTCTTAAGTATGAAACAAGACGACCAAATCGAATATATGGCGGGCATGTTCAAAATGTCACCTCTAACATTCGTTGATATAGTAGAAAACCAAACGAAAATGGATCGAATTTCAGGTATGATGCAAGAGATAAATTCAAAATACTTCAAGCTCGACGATTCACACTATTCGTCCTCAATGTTTACCGAAACGTATTTCGCCAAGAGATTTGATTTGTTATTCGAAAAATTAAGTATCAAGGATTCTGTAGTATTTAGTTTAAAAGAACTAGTTAAGTTCCCTAGACTCGAGAGTGTGTTGAGTTCTTACGTTTTCGCTAAGTACATAGAAACCTTGACGAACGATGTGGACTTAGAAGTAATCGGTTCGTTTATTGAGTTTTCAATAAACACCAAACTGTTTGTGGACAACACATTGAATGACAATGTCTCTGGTAATTAAAAATAAATATTACAATTTTTGTTAGTTAAGTTAATTTAGATTTTTTTGTGTTACATCGCTTAAATTAAACGACGATATTAACTTAAGTCGTAATTAATTAAGTAAAACTCTAACTTAAAAAAAAATGTCTTCTTTTACCTATTTATTTTCATTTATTCCATCTTTTGCATCGCCGATTTGTATTTGCTTTAATCAGAGCACTTCGTCATTTTCTAAAAACTGAGTGAGACCTCAACTCAGTGTGACCATATTCCAAAAATGAAATTATTGTACAAAACTTTTTTCTATAATATGTTATTAAATAATTTGTATAATATAATATAAATCGGTGATTTTTTTTTCTATCCGTAGTTATTACGAGTCGATGAAGATTTTGGTTTGTTTAGATTTTTAGTAATTACATTGTTTTAATAGAGAGTGCACCATCTGGTTTTGTCTAATCATCTGTGGTTATGGTAAAATTATTTTTATTTGGCTGTAGTTATTGGGTTATTCGAGCAACCAACACCTTAAGTTATTAGATACAATTTATTGTAACCAACAGATATTTAATAAAATATAAAATAATTAAAGTCTGTGTATTTTTTTCATTTCATTAGAGACTGAAATCTTATAGTTTAAACGATTGTTCCACAGTAGTGTCTTTCACTATGTCAATACCAAAGGTCGGCCTGCTTTAAATTATTAAAGGGAAATTATTATACTTGAGTCGAAACGGTTAAACACTATTATAATATAGGTCAACGCGATGAATTATGTTTCCAATAGCAAGTCGCTCAACCCTAACTCACTTGAAGCAATTTGTATTCGCACAACCGCAAGGTAAGTACGGATCAGTGGGCAAGGTATCAACTAACAATTTCATTATGCCAAATTATTCTCGAACAACAGCTTTGTTAACCGTAAAACGCGTTGATTCGAACGCAAACATGTGTATTTGCAGTAAGGTAAAATATACAACTATTTGGACCCTATTAAAGGCTAATGGAAATTGAACGCAGCGCAAATAATTGGTAACACGAACCTCTTTATTATGTGCTCGTATTCATACGACTGGAAAATGGTAGGGAACGTTTCAGCGGTCCATTTAATTCTCTGCTGATGGTCCGGCCGATAATCATTATTGTCATTGAAATTCCTCTCCAAGAGCCACTGTAGGCCGTAAGTACTCTGTTGGCCGTCATCCCATTTTATGTAAAGCGTGTCGTCTCCGTTGGAAATCTGAAAATTAAACGTCGATGGTCAAATGGAAATTTCGATTAGATACGTTAAAACCCCCTCTTCAATTTCGCGCAAGGTAATTAATTCTTGTTATTAATATTAGACCCAAACTGTTAGGAGAATATTAAAATACTAAAAATGTAGTCGAATAAAATATAATTCACGTCAGTACCGCCATAAGAAATATTGCCACTAGACTTACTGATTTCAATGCCTATAAAATGCTTAAATGGTAAATAATTATTACATAATTAAGGCACATATGTCCCGTTTTACTTGTTACGAATTGGTCTACTTTGGACATAACATCATACATGCACTGCGTTGCATTCATAGTCCTTTGTGTTTTGTTAGTCAAGAGTAATGCTTGAGGTATTGTTAAACACATATTTGCAGAAATCGCTCTTATGAGGGTACATGAATTCCATATTATTTAATTAAACGCTGAACAGTGACATTTAAACAGTGTGTACGTACGAAAGAAATATATAATTTTACTGATGTAATTATTGAGGAAATAATTGATAAATATTTTTTTAATTTATGCAAATAAACGTCAAATTGAATTTTATAAATAAACAAATCACTAAAACGATAAAAAAAATGCGTATAAAATAAATTAATAAATTATTATATTACTAGTAAAATCTTACAGAACGTTATCTTGTCTTTAAAATTTGATAAATAATAAGAAGCCATTTGCTTTGCAAAAACGCGGTAATTTATAATAATCCATATTTGAACCGGTAGAAAGATTAAAAATATGTAAATTAAAAATATATCAATGTCCATTGATTAACACATATTATACTAAATACTATTATACTTTCAAAATGAGAAGCTAAAAGTTCCTGTTTCTTATACATACACTACTGTATTTGTATTAACATAATGACTTGATCATATTTTTTGTACTTTCCAATCAACGAACTTAATTGCCGACAATCGACAGGTGTATTCGATTTTAACATCCACGTTAGTTTGATTGGATGTTATTAATATTCTAAAATACCAAGATGACCGCTATATTATACTATTTTGATGATCAACTTTGCAGGGCTGTTTGCACTACCAACTTAACCGCGGATTATAATGTAATAATTTTCGGCGATGAATACTCAAAACCAGAACTAAAGGAAATTGCCCGTGACGTCTTGTAGAACTTAGATTTGTTTCCGAAAACTTACTGAGGTTTGTTTACTGAGAACTTGCGAGTTCGAAAGGTAGCATTATGCCGACAATAGCCTTACTGTAATTCGCCGGATTTAGTGTAGTATAATATGGTATTACTGCACACTAAGTCTCACACCTATCGGTTTGCTGCCTAGAGCATTATCAGCTGTTTACAACCGCCAAGCCGGTAAATTTTGTACCCGTCATAGCGATTATCTACACCACTGGTACTGTTATATAAGTACCTACTCCGATATAACTCTATGAATGGGTGTACAGGGTGTAATTGCTTAAGGATAAGACACTCATTTTCTCTTAAGGTAATCTAATTGTTATTTTGTAGTAAATTAATTTCTCGCTCAATAATTTCAAAAATCGTCTTGGAAATTAAGCAGTACACATGTATTTACTCAATTATTTAACATAATATTTACATTAATAATTGTAAAAATCAATTATAAAATAATATGCGCTATTAATTGAGAATAAAGTAGTGTATAACAATATAAAATTATTTAACACCCGCATTGTAATATGCTTACGAATTATCTCATTTCTTTTTTAATGATACAACTCTTTTGTAATATTATAGTATGAAGGGCACAGGGGAAAAATAGTAGTTGTCACATTATGAAAATTTTAAAGTATAGAAAAAACAAAGTTCGTGAATTCCTCTACCTCTTACATAAGAACAAAAAAAATCATATTAAATGCTACTCTAATAATAAATGTATTTATTTAAACAATCTATTGACATAAATAAAAAAAATTATTGGCATAAACTGAAAAAAACTATTTGAAAAAAAATGTTCATAATGTGACTACTACCGTTTTTCCCCTGTGCCCTTCATATGTATTTTAAGAGTTTTTAAATCTAAAAAATCTACTCGCGGTGGTCCAAAACAATACAAAAACAGACATTCTTCGATATAATATGTGTTTAAGTATTAATTGCTTAAAAAAACCTACATTTTCTTGGAGTTTATACTTATTTTTTTACCCTTAAAACAACGATGAAGTCTAGTATTATCAAAAATTTACTTTATTTAATTAGTAATAAAGATCTAAATTTAATAATTTACTTTTTAGTAGTATAAAGTAATAAGTAAAAACTTAAAATTTGTATGTAAACGTTACCGTTTAAGTTTTAAAAATTAGAAGAAATTTGGAAACTACTAAAAAAGGTAAATATTTAGTAATTTTATAATATTGTAAAATAACATAATCAAAAATGTTTTCAAAAAGAAATAGTACAAAATTATAGTTGTAAAAATGTACACAAAGTAATACAATTTTTGAAATGTATAAAACTGGTCACATAATGTAACATAGCTTTAGACCTATACTTATTGATAACTATTTATTCTTTATTTAATTATTCTTTACTAATTATTCTAATTATTAATTCTTAGTAATTTTGTAAAATGTATCTTATATATAGGCTAATGTCCTATGTCTTATACCTAGTTGTTGACGTCTGTAAGGCTGACTCAATAAAAAAAAATTACAATTATTTTAAGAGATATTCATTTATTTATTAGCAGAAAATCCAAAATTGACAATATTTCTCTCCCAAGAAATACATTTTATTTAGTGTTCATGACCTACAATTGAACCGCTGTCTAAGTAACCTTTTCAAAAATCTAAAATGTTAGACGTCATCAACTATTATAAGTTGTTTTTTATGTTGATAAAATTTGATTAGGTAATAAATCTATAACTTTGAATCCAATATGTTTTCTAACCAGTAACCATACATTTTGTCTATTTTCAAGCAATTTTATATTGTTTCAAAAATGTCTAGAAATCATTTTACATTATAATGGCCGTTTTAAATTGTGTAACTAAATACAATCAACCTACTCATTTAATTTTTAATAATAATAATAATGTATGTAAATTATCTGTGCAATTATATTATATATTACTTTTTATCGTTATGTGTCATTATTTGTTTGATTTTTATTGTAAAAGACGTTGCCATTGCCGTAGCCGTTACTTAGACACGTGGGAAAGGAACAAGGTCATCGTTAAACACACTATGTGACCACATTATGTAAAAACTGTTTGTATACATCAACACGGTAATAATACTGAATAAATAAGCATAAATTACAAGACGTGTTTAAGCTATAATTAATAATTAATCGATTGAGAATTGAATTTCTTTTTTTTTTTAAGTGAATAGTAGTTTGTATATTAGTTTTTATTTTTGCATAGTATTTAAAGCTGACTGGACAACTACTAGGCAACGGTTAGAAACGTCGAGTTGACAAGTGCGTTAGGAGATATCAGATTAATAAGAACATTTTTTTTTCTTCGCACACTCTTTTAAATGCATAAAGTATATGTCAAAAACAATTAATGAAAACTAATTGTCGACTCGCTAACTTGTTCAGTCAGCCATTTTCGTACTATGTAAAGTATATAGGTGCTATTGTTTAATTGAGTTTTTTGTTTGCTCTACTCTTTTAATACAATAGAGAACTTGCAATAGAAACATAATATGTACCTACTAAATTACATCCGTATAAATGATGTGCACCAAGTTATAAACACACACAATTCGCTAACACTATGTACATTTTTGTTAAAAATATATTTTATGTGTAAGCTGTTTACAGATTGTAAATTTGTTTCCAATCGGTTTCGGATTATTTGTAATATTTTAAACCATATTTTTCAAAAACAATTATTACCACTCAGAAATCGTTGTCCGGCATGCTTACTAGACTACACATACCACACTAGAAAGGTTATACCCTGAAGTTAATGATTGAAATAGGGTACGCAACAGTTATTATGTTTACATAGATAATTGTAATATGTATAACAGGACTCGTTGTCGGTCGTTTGCCAAGTCATTACGTTAAACGTTTCCTTTTTTGTTAATTCAATATCGCAATAGCTTCTCGCTGAACACGTTAATATTTTATACTTATTATTCTATATAATATTAGATCGTTATTCGAATAAAAAGAAAAATTAACGGCAAAACACTTACTCGGTAATCGGTGGGCACCGAATGGAAATTAAATTCTCGAATGACTTGCTTCCTGGCTCCAGACACTTGCGACGCACAGTCCGGACATTGACAGTTGTTTTTCATCCAAACCAAAGGATAAGCAAAGCGACATCCGTCCCGGACGCGCAGCAAACGGATTTCCGAGTTAACTACCGACACTTGCATGTCTTAGGATAAAATAATATGCGAACCCGCTCGAGTTGGCGGTACCCTTATATTATATTATATAAAATAAAATTGTAGTTTTTTTTTTAATTGCGCGCATTCGTTCCAGTCGAGAAAACCGCGTGTGACTGTCAGTAGTAGGTGTCCGACCGACCGACCGACCGATGAAATAAATTATACAATAGCGACCGATAAGAAGGGGTTTAAGTGGTGTGAGGGCGAAGAAAGCGAGTCGGTGGTCTCCTACTGCAGTGTATATTATAATATGCCCAAGTAAGTACCAACGAGTTTAGTGCAAATTCGATAATCGGTGGCGTACCGTTTACAATTTTCATCTGGGGAGTGATATGCAAAAAAAAAATTCCCCCTGACTTATGGCTTACAGCCGGACAAAAATGTATTTATCTTTAAGCATAACGCTGTGGAAACAGTTTTTTTAATCTACATTTTCTATTATGTATCTATTTTTCGAAAACCTTGGACGACTCTGTTTTCTAGAAAAAAATTGTTTTTAAATGTGTAATTGACTTTAACTAAATTTTGTAGGTAATTGTGAAATTTTCCACGTGTGATGTTATTCCGGTGGGAACCGATAACAAATACAGTTGGGTTTTTTTGATATTATTTATTATTATTAAGATTACTATAACGTGCAAACGTATTATGATAATACTCGTTTGAGAGTGACACGAATAATTATATTGATCGCGTGTGTGTGTTTGTAACGGTTAAAAACCAAATATTATTCATTGTGTTAATGGTTTTTGGCATTTATACTTTTATATAAGTATAATTGTTGTTTTGTTTTTACATAAAACAAGTTATTGGCGACGACATGACGCGATGCTGTTACTTGATAAACACACATAAAATACTTTAAGTTTAAATACGGCAATATTGAATTTTTCATTATTGTCTGGGTTTCCGTTTTTCTGATTTTCATACACAAATAAAATAATATAATTTAGATTCACATCCAAGCTAAAAATATTAATGCCGTTGTAAAAATCTGATAAAAAAAAATTGTCATCAATAATAATCCAATTTGCTGTAATAATGAACACACACATTAGTTTACACTTAAAACTATGATTTATGAAAAATTGCCTATATATTAAGCTAGTTATTAACCATATTTCTAGCAAACATATTAGACAATTTTATTTTAGAGCGAATTTTTTAATTAATAAAGAAATATGATTTATTTATCATAAAAATAATTGTATTATCACGTTTAAAAAAAGATTTTTTAGAAAATAGTGTATACTATATTCTCACTCTAGATCTACTTTCAATCTTATTTTCAAACCTCATGTTAAAAAACCCAAGCGCAATTCAAATTAAGAACAGTCAAAACATGCACAGTCCAAACCAAGCATCTAACCTAACCTATCCGTAATGGCTAGATATTCATGTTAAAGATATTCGTTTGTTTGAGGAAATTAGAAGATTCATGATATTATTTATAATATCTTTAGTTTTTTTTTTTTTAGGTTTTAAATGCTTTTAAGTATGCTAAGTGAATCGGTTAATATATCGTTGGGTATTTCGTTAATTATTTTGATTGCTTTTTGGATAACTAAGGCTTTTTCGGTGAATATGCTATAATATTTTGTTGGTATTCTAATTTTATGGGCTATATTGCCAATAATCAATGCAAAACCAATGCTTGTTTCGGTTTTAGAAGCATCGGTACCTAAGTACCAATGTTTCGTTCTTGTTTTACGTTTTCTATTTATAGAGGTTTCTAAAGACTTAGGGAAATGTGTGTTTTTTTTTGTTTCCCTAAATTAGTTTTAAATCTAAGTGATAAAGTTGGTTTTCCATGGATGTTTATTGAGAATGATAGTATAGTCTTGATTATATGTTTTGGCCAAAACGTTTGCATGACGACGACGACGACTCGTTATTAATTCGATGGCATCTTAGATGTTACACAGTGTATATGAGCACCGCATCAGTGACGCAATAGAGACCGCTAAGCCCGTTTAAGTCGTGCAGCTTAATATGAGTAGAGGTGCTGAGGCAAGAGGCACAGGGACCGACCACATCAAAATGATCCGGTGCATTCAAATCAATCTTAACAGGAATAACGCTAATTCGTGTCGTTTTCGAGCTGAGAGGCCAGGGATAAAGCATGTTCCATGCTAAAATCAAGTTCCGTATAGTGGTTCAAAGGGGGAAATTTAATTTGAAAGATTCTACGCAAATCTGTGTAAAGGGTGTCCCACAAATGAAATAACACATTTTTTTTTTAAATTTTATTTATACTCATTTGCGCTATAGCACCACGTTTTTTATTGCACTTTTTTTAAAAAAAATTGTTGTCACATTTATTTTAAAAAAATCAAGATATTCATTTTTTAACACTTTCGTTACTGACATCCTCGTACGAGGATTTAACTTTAAAAATCGAATAAAATTATAGTATTAACAACGAACTATTAATATAAAAAATGTCTTTAAACACAAGTTCTAGTGTAGGTTGATACACCCAACTTTTATGAACATCCTCGATAGCCTGTTTTTTCATGTTAAATCGAAATGCATCAGAACGCAAATTTTTTTTGGGGGGGGGGGATTTCCGGTGCTAGGCCTAAAGGAGTTGACTTTTTATTTTTGACTCACCAAAGTACCAATCGCATACGATTTTATATGTATAGAGCTGCTTCTCTAGTAAATCGGTTCAAGGGAAAAAAGTTATCATGTTTACAGACACAAAATAAAAACGCACATAATTGTAAAATCAGCGTCGAATTGAAGCTAAAATTTGCTTATCAATAAACAAGTTATTCAAAAACGTTCTTTAGTAAGTGAAAAAAATTATTATAATGTACGTTTCTATATATTTATTATTATTAGAAATAAGATTTTACTTAATTTTATAATGGAATGTTATTCGAATAGTTACTTTTTTTAATTAGAATAAAAAATGTCTTTCATAGATATCGGCTATCACGTTTTTGGATCTAAAGGTTCTATGCTAGTTTTTTTTTCTAAAGTTCACTTTTTTCGTCATTTAGACTATGAGTTAATCACGTTATGAATCAAAAAAGTTCGGTATAACTTCAAAATAACATTATCGCAAACTTAGATCCAACTTTAAAAAATAGATTTAATTTTAAAACAAAAAAGGTCAGACACTATTTTATTAGAAACAAAATGTTATATGTGTATTAAAAAATACACTGGTGATGTTAAATGAATTAAAATTATATGAGCGTTTTTATAGGATCATTATTACATGATTACATTATTTTGTATCTCAGGCTGATACTACTACTATAGAAAAAGTTCTTTGAGATATAATATATCTTTTTTATTTTGCAAAAAGGTATCTAATATTTGATTTTTAATTTTTGTACCACAGTTCTATCCCTAGTTCTATTTGATTCCAAGTTTAGTCTTAACAATAATATTTAATTATCAAGTTCTTGATTAACTGTTGAGATATAATTTTTAATTTTTTCATATTTTTTACGTCCAAATCGAATCATAAGCGGAAACATATTTGACTGCACTTAAATTAGCCCTCTAGAAAATTTACAAATTAAAACATTGAACCTTTTGATAACTTACAAATTATTTAAATAATATATGTTAAAAAATGATCAGAGTAATTGAACTAGAAATTATTCGAAATTATTCGAATTATGTTTGAAATTAGTGGAATTATTATTTATTTTAACATTCGAATACAAATTATTTAAATAATTATTTTAAACTCAGACGGCTCATGGCCAAAAAAAAAATATGCTTATAGCTTTTTCAAGATATTATAGCATTATTATGCAATTTTGACCAGACCGAAATTAGGAGGGAAAGGAAGGCTGAGCTTTGGACGTACAACGTGATTAACTGACGCCTTTAATTATAATATTTACAAAAAAATATTTGATCATTTTTTTCTGTAATATGTATATATTATTTGATGTTAATTAAATTTGTAATGCTCCACAAAGCATGCTAGAAGGGTGAGAAAATGAGGAAAGTGCTTTAAGCCGGCCAAAATTGATTGCCCCTGGGTACTAAGTGTCGTTGTGGTAGCATGACACAGGACGTCACCAAAATAAACAGGGCCTTATAACACTAATACGCTATTACACTATTAATTCATGGGGGGGGGGGGGAGACAAGAGACGACATCTCAATCTTCTCTTTGGCGAAAAATTATTTAAGGGGATTGCATGCAGTCTGTTTTTTTGACGTTTCAGACAGAAGAACCAGACAAAATTTTGACTTCTTAGATGGTCCTTCTTGATGGGGTTCTTTGGAAACTTTAGCTTTTTGTACGAAACAGATTTTTGATTTTTATGTAGAAAAATTGAGTTTTAAATTTGAAAAAATTGCAAATTGAATTTATTCAATAACAAGAAACTGAAATTTTTAAATGAAAATTGGCTTCCTACATAACATAGTAAAGTAGCCGATGAACTCGAATCTCTATACAGAATTGAAATTGGACTATCCTATGTTGTCGAAATTTTGTCTAGCTTATTAGTCTAAAAAAACCAAAATGGCTTTTACTCATAGAAACAATTATTTAAATTAAAAATAATACTTTAAAGCTAATACAAATTAACCGGTAAAATAATTGATATGGTCGACATTTATTAAAACCTCTATTTTTTTAAATATTGCCTTTGTAAAACTACTTAAAAACAGACCACATGCAGTCCCCTAAATGTAGTAATAAAACATATTTATTCTACTTTATTTTTGTCTAACGTATAAGAATTGACTAATCAAGAGAAGACAATTTCTGAGAAACTGATACCAAAATACCAACAATTTATTTAAGCTTAACATGGTTAGTTTTTGTTAAATAATGTTTTCGCAAAGATAATCCATGGTATGAGTTTAGAATAAGTGGGTATATAATAATTATACTGTATACATTATTAATTAGTAAAACTAAATTAGTATATTCATTGTAATATGTCCACATATTATGTCTACTGTACCAAACATTTTCAGCGTTAGTGTAGTCTTTTATTTCCGTCCAACGTTTTTAAAATTATGTTATATTGAGGCTCGCACTTTAGACATGAATAAAATGTGTTAGGCCTGCATTAATATTTCTTTTTATTTTATTTATATTTAGAATAATGTACTAAAAATGTTGAC